TCCTCGTGGGCTCATAGGCCGAGATGCGGTCGGATAGGTATCTTTGGCCGGAACCGTTTAGGGCGTTGTAGGCCAACGCCAGCACCTTGAATTGAGCCTGGTAGCAAATCGGCAGCCAATAGAGCTGGTACAACAAGGGCGTTGTATGCTCCCTGCGTCCCGCTCCTGTTAGTAACATGGCTGCCGCACGCTGGACCAGTTGAAGCTTCCGGGCCGTCTTCAAGGGCAACCCCACGTAGAGAGCGTTGCAGTAGTCTAAGCAGGATGTAACCAGAGCCTGGACTACCGTGGCCAAGTCAGACTTCCCGAGGTACGGGCGCAGCTGGCGCACGAGCCTGAGCTGTGCAAATGCTCCCCTGGTCACCGCCGAGACCTGGGGCTCCAGGCTCAACGATGAATCCAGGATCACACCCAAGCTGCGAACCTGCGCCTTCAAGGGGAGTGCGACCCCATCCAGCACAGGCTGTAACCCTATGCCCTGTTCGGCCTTGCGACTGACCAGGAGTACCTCTGTCTTGTCTGGATTCAATTTCAATTTGTTCGCCCTCATCCAGACCGTCACAGCGGCCAGGCACCGGTTCAGGACCTCGACAGCCTCCTTAGTAGCAGGTGGAAAGGAGTGACAGAGTTGGACATCATCCGCGTACAGATGACACCGCACCCCGAAACTCTGGATGATCTCACCCAGCGGCTTCATGTAGATGTTAAACAACATGGGGGACAGTATTGAGCCCTGAGGAACCCCACAAGTCAAAGGTTGTGGCGTTGAACAGTTGTCCCCTAATAACACCTTCTGGGTGTGGCCTTCCAGGAATGACCGGAGCCACTGTAAAACAGTGCCCCCGAGACCCATCTCCGCAAGGCGCCCCAGAAGGATACCGTGGTCGACGGTATCGAAGGCCACTGAGAGGTCCAGCAGCACCAACAGGGACACACTCCCCTGTCAAGCTCCCGGCGCAGATCATCCACTAAGGCGACCAAGACTGTCTCAGTTCCATGTCCCGGTCTGAAACCAGACTGTGCCGAATCCAGATAATCTGTTTCTCCCAAGAATACCTGGAGTTGTGAGGCCACCACGCGTTCCAGGACTTTGCCCAAAAAGGGGAGATTGGAAACTGGCCGAAAGTTGTCAAATTTAGTGGGGTCCAGTGATGGTTTTTTCAACAGCAGTTTTATTACAGCTTGTTTTAAGCTGGCTGGAATCTCGCCTTCCCGAAGGGAGGCGTTAACCACCACCTTAACCCACTCAGCCAATCCCCCTCTGGCCTCCTTTAGAAGCCAGGATGGGCAGGGGTCTAGGATGGACGTGGTAGGCCTCATTCCTCCAAGTATCTTGTCCACATCCTCGGGCTTCACCAATTGAAATGAATCCATCAAAATCGGACAAGCAGGTGCTCGTGTTACATCACTTGCTTTTGATAAATCCATCGACCAAATTTGGCATGGACCAAATTTGGCATGCACACCCGATATGCCCAAATTTGAATACTGGTGGGTTTGGAGGGGAATTGGCCTGGGCATTTTGGAGTTGTAGGTACTAGGATTTATAGTTCACCTGCAATCAATGAGTACTCTGAACTCCACCAAAAATGGAATTGGACCAAACTTGGCACACAGAGCATCCATGGCCAGTAAAAAATACTGGAGGTCTTTGGGGAAAATCTAGCTTGATTTGGAGGAGTTGTTGTTCACCTACATCCAAAGAGTACTATGAACCCAAACAAAGAGGGATCTGGGCCACATTTGGCATGCATACCTGATATGGAATGTGTCCAGAGGAGAGCGACTAAAATGATAAAAGGTCTGGAGAACAAGCCCTATGAGGAGCGGCTTAGGGAGCTGGGCATGTTTAGCCTGAAGAAGAGAAGGCTGAGAGGGGATATGATAGCCATGTATAAATATGTGAGAGGAAGCCACAGGGAGGAGGGAGTGAACTTGTTTTCTGCTTCCCTGGAGACTAGGACGCAATGGAACAATGGCTTCAAACTACAAGAGAGATTCCATCTGAACATGAGGAAGAACTTCCTGACTGTGAGAGCCGTTCAGCAGGGGAACTCTCTGCCCCGGAGTGTGGTGGAGGCTCCTTCTTTGGAAGCTTTTAAACAGGGGCTGGATGGCCATCTGTCAGGGGTGATTTGAATGCAATATTCCTGCTCCTTGGCAGAATGGGGTTGGACTGGATGGCCCATGAGGTCTCTTCCAACTCTTTGATTCTATGATTCTATGCCCAAATTTGAATACTGGTGGGTTTGGAGGGGAATTGGCCTGGATATTTTGGAGTTGTAAGTACTGGGATTTATAGTTCACCCACAATCAATGAGCTCTCTGGACTCCACCAAAGATGGAATTGGACAAAACTTGGCACACAGTCCCCATGACCAGCAAAAAAAAACTAGTGGCCTTTGGGGAAAATATAACTTGATTTGGGGGACTTGTAGTTCACCTACATTCAGAGAGCCCTGTGAACCCAAACAAAGAGGGATGTGGACGAAACTTGGCATGCATATTCGACACGCTCTAACTTGAACACTGCTGGGTTTGGACGGGAATTGGCCTGGACGTTTGGGAGTTTTAGGTCCTGGGATTTATAGTTCAACCACAATCAATGAGCACTCTAAACTCCACCAAAGATGGATCTGGACCAAACTTGGCACACAGAGTCCCCATGACAAGCAAAAAATACTGGAGGCCTTTGAGGGAAATCTACCTTGATTTGGGGGAGTTGTAGTTCACCTACATCCAAAGAGTACTATGAACCCAATCAGTAATGGATCTGGACCAAACTTGACACGCATACCCAATATGCCCAAATCTGAGCACTGTTGGGTTTTGAGGGGGATTGGCCTGGGCATTTTGGAGTTGTAGGTACTGGGATTTATAGTTCACCCACAATCAATGAGCACTCTGGACTCCACCAAAGATGGAATTGGACAAAACATGGCACACAGAGCATCCATGACAAGCAAAGGAAAAAAAACCTGGAGGTCTTTGGGGAAAATCTACCTTGATCTGGGGGAGTTGCAGTTCACCTACATCCAAAGAGCACTATGAACCCAAACACCGATGGATTTGGACCAAATTTGACACACATACCCGATATGCCCAAATCTGAACACTGCTGGGTTTGGAGGGGAATTGGCTTGGACATTTTGGAGTTGTAGGTACTGGGATTTATAGTTCACCCACAATCAATGAGCACTCTGGACTCCACCAAAGATGGATCTGGACCAAACTTGGCATGCATACCCGATATGCCCGTATCTGAATACTGGTGGGTTTTGAGGTGAATTGGCCTGGACTCTCCTGGGATTTATAGTTTACCTGCAATCAATGAACTCCGCCACAGTTGGGGAATTGGCCTGGACATTTGTGAGTTGTAGGTACTGGGATTTATAGTTCACCCACAATCAATGAGCACTCTGGACTACACCAAAGATGGATCTGGACCAAATTTGGCATGCATACCCGATATGCCCGAATTTGAATATTGATGGGTTTTGAGGGGAATTGGCCTGGACATTTGTGAGTTGTAAGTACTGGGATTTATAGTTCACCCACAATCAATGAGCACTCTGGACTCCACCAAAGATGGATCTGGACCAAACTTGGCATGCATACCTGATATGCCCGAATTTGAATATTGGTGGGTTTTGAGGGGAATTGGCCTGGACTCTCCTGGGATTTATAGTTTACCTGCAATCAATGAACTCCACCACAGGTCCTGGGATTTATAGTTTACCTGCAATCAATGAACTCCACCACTGTTGGGGAATTGGCCTGGACATTTGTGAGTTGTAAGTACTGGGGTTTATAGTTCACCCACAATCAATGAGTACTCTGGACTCCACCAAGGATGGATCTGGACCAAACTTGGCACACATACCTGATATGCGCAAATTTGAGTACTGGGTGGGTTTTGAGAGGAATTGGCCTGGACATTGGGGAGTTGTAGGTCCTGGGATTTATAGTTCACCCACAATCAATGAGCACTCTGAACTCCACCAAAGATGGATCTGGACCAAACTTGGCACACAGAGTCCCCATTACCAGTAAAAAATACTAGAGGCCTTTGGGGAAAATCTACCTTGATCTGGGGTAGTTATAGTTCACCTACATCCAAAGAGTACTATGAACCCAAACAATTATGGATATGGACCAAACTTGACACACATACCCGATATGCCCAAATCTGAATGCTGCTGGGTTTGGAGGGGAATTGGCCTGGGCATTTTAGAGTTGTAGGTACTGGGATTTATAGTTCACCCACAATCAATGAGCACTCTGGACTCCACCAAAGATGGATCTGGACCAAACTTGGCATGCATACCTGTAATGCCCAAATTTGAATTCTGGAGGGTTTTGAGGGGAATTGGCCTGGACATTTGGGAGTTGTATGTCCTGGGATTTATAGTTCATCCACAATCAATGAGCACTCTGGACTCCACCAAAGATGGATCTGGACCAAACTTGGCACGCATACCCGATATGCCCAAATTTGAATATTGGTGATTTTGAGGGGGCATTTGGGAGTTGTAGGCCCTGGGATTTATAGTTTACCTGCAATCAATGAATTCCACCAGAGATTCTGGACCAAACTTGGCACACGGGCCTGATACGTTGATATTTGTCATTTGGGAGGAGTGAGAGAGATGTGAGCTGACTTTCCTTTCCGGGAGTTGTAGTTCACCCACAACCAAACTATAATTCTGCCTTGAGCCATGGTGAGTAAAGTAGCATTTTTTTATGCCTTGCCACCAAAGATAAAATAAAGCAAAGAGCATATTTTGCCATCAAAGATAAAACAAAACACAAAAGAGCATCAAAACAATACAAAAGCAACTGCGCATGCGCACTAGCCTCACCATTTTCCCGCCTCCATTTAACCGTCGCTTTCCCTGAAGCATTCGAAGCCTCAGCTACTCGCTCTGCGCATGCGCCTCGGCCAGCCTCCTTCCCCTCCCTCCCGCCCTGTTCCCCTGCCGCGCATGCGCAGGCACGCCCCCTCCCTAGATTGACATGTTTCCTTACCTCCACGCTGGTGCGTCAGGTGCTGTTGGGTTGTGCGCCGTCTGGACGCCCGCGCAGGCGCAGTAGGGATCTGAGGGATCACTTGAGGAGACGGGGGGCCTTTTGGTCGCCATCGCAATGGGAGTAAGTAAGGCCCAGGCTTCTCGGTTTGGGGCGGGGGGGAAATATGAGGTAAATGGAGGAGCCTTAAAGGAGGACAGTGGAAAGGCAGGCCTTGGAAATGGGAATAGGACAGGCCTGGGCCAATTTGGGCCTTCCAGGTGTTTTGGACAGGAGTTGGCTATTTGTTTGAATTCTTCTTTGGTGATTTCTCCCTTTTTCCACTTCTTGTGCATGCTTTGTTCTTCCTTTTTTTCTAGTGACATAAGAAAAGAAGCCCCTTTTATTGCTGACATTGCAGATTAAACGGCTAAGGGGGAAAAGGAAGGGAAAAGGCTGCTAGGAATTATTATTATTATTATTATTATTATTAACTTTATTTGTACCCCACTAGCATCTCCCGAAGGACTCGATGCGGCTTAGAAAGGCCAAGGCCTCAACCCAAAACATAAGAATACAAAACCCAAGGCAAATTAAAAACAATTGAAGCAATATAACAACAAGCAATAAACAATACACTATTATTATTATTATTATTATTATTATTAACTTTATTTGTACCCCGCTAGCATCTCCCGAAGGACTCGATGCGGCTTACAAAGGCCAAGGCCAGCGAGCTTAAAACAAGCTATAATAAAACCGTTGTTGATGAAACCATCACTGGACCCCACTAAATTTGACAACTATCGGCCAGTTTCCAATCTCCCCTTCTTGGGCAAAGTCTTGGAACGTGTGGTGGCCTCACAACTCCAGGTATTCTTGGTAGATTGGGATTATCTAGACCCCACACACTCTGGCTTTAGGCCGTGACATGGTACCGAGACAGCCTTGGTCGCCTTAGTGGATGATCTGCGCCAGGAGCTAGACAGGGGGAGTGTGTCCCTGTGGGTGCTGCTGGACCTCTCAGCGGCCTTTGATACCGTCGACCATGGTATCCTTCTGGGACGCCTCGCGGGGATGGGACTTGGAGGTACTGTTTTACAGTGGCTCCGGTCATTCCTAGAGGGTCGATCCCAGAAGGTGTTACTGGGAGACACCTATTCAACCCCACAACCCTTGTCTTGTGGGGTTCCGCAGGGCTCAATATTGTCTCCCATGTTGTTTAACATCTACATGAAGCCGCTGGGAGAGATCATCCGGAGTTTCGGGGTACGGTGTCACCTGTACGGAGATGATGTCCAACTCTGTCACTCCTTCTCACCTGCTACTAAGGAGGCTGTCGAGGTCCTGAACCGGTGCTTGGCCGCTGTAACGGTCTGGATGAGGGCGAACAAATTGAAATTGAATCCAGAGAAGACAGAGGTACTCCTGGTCAGTCGCAAGGCCGAACAGGGCATAGGGTTACAGCCTGTGCTGGATGGGGTCGCACTCCCCCTGAAGACGCAGGTTCGCAGCTTGGGTGTGATCCTGGACTCATCGCTGAGCCTGGAACCCCAGGTTTCAGCGGTGACCAGGGGAGCATTTGCACAGCTAAAGCTTGTGCGCCAGCTGCGCCCGTACCTTGGGAAGTCTGACTTGGCCACAGTAGTCCACGCTCTCGTTACATCCTGATTAGACTACTGCAACGCTCTCTACATGGGGTTGCCTCTGAAGACTGCTCGGAAGCTTCAAATGGTCCAACGATCAGCAGCCAGGATGCTAACAGGAGTGGCACTCAGGGAGCACACAACTCCTCTGTTGTGCCAGCTCCACTGGCTGCCAATTTGCTACCGGGCACAATTCAAAGTGCTGGCTTTAGCCTTTAAAGCCCTAAACGGTTCTGGCCCGACCTATCTGTCTGAACACATCTCCTCCTATGAACCAGTTAGGACGTTAAGATTATCTGGGGAGGCCCTGCTCTCAGTCCCGCTGGCCTCACAAGCACACCTGGCGGGGACGAGAGACAGGGCCTTCTCAGTAGTGGCCCCTCGGCTGTGGAACGCCCTTCCTACAGACATTAGATCGGCCCCCTCCTTATTGGCATTCTGGAAGAGTGTGAAGACCTGGCTTTTCGAACAGACTTTCAACTAAGCAGTGCAATTGATTGATTATTGGAATGGAATAATGGACAACGAGACTGGATGCTGATTCTATTGATGAGACGTGATGGATTGTTATATTGCTGTACTGTTGTATTGATATTTTGGTGTTAATTAATTGATACTACTGTTTTAATTGATTACCGATTTTGTATTGTGTTGTTGAACTGGTTGTTAACCGCTCTGAGTCGCCTGAGGGCTGAGAAGAGCGGTATATAAGTGAAGCAAATAAATAAATAAATAAATAAATAAATAAAGACACAATAAAACTGGGCCTGGCCAGAGTAATGGGTACAGAATTAAAAGTGCTGATGTGACAGGTGGTATATAAGGATTATAGGGTAAGTGCAGTGTGCAGTGTGCGGCAATCTTAGTTCTAATAAAGTGCTTCTGGGACTTGGTATTGGAGGTTCCTAATCTGAGAAGGCACATTGGAACAGCCAGGTCTTCCAGTTCTTTCTAAAGACTGCCAATGTAGGGACCTGTCTAAGATCTTTGGGGAGGGTGTTCCAGAGTTGGGGGGCCACCACAGAAAAGGCCCTGTCTCGTGTCCCCACCAAACGCGCTTGCAACGCAGGCGGAATCACGAGCAGGAATGGTGGGAGTTGGAGTCCAAAACACCTGGAAGGCCCAAGTTGGCCTATGCCTGGGATGGAATGATAGCCTCATAGAATGGGAATAGAGATACCCAAGGGCCATTTAGTCCAACCCCCTTCTGCCAGGCATCAAAGCCCTCCCGACAGATGGCCAAGCAGCCCCTGCATCAAACACCTCCAGAGAAGGGGGACTAGGCAGACTATTTAAGTAGAATCGGAAGAGACCGCCCCCCCCCTCCATGGTCACCCAGTTCGACCACATGCAAGGAAATCCCATTACATAATAATAATAATATTAAATAATATAAATACAATATTTATATTATTATATATTTATTTGCCGTGTCAGGGTAACCAGTCAATTGTATTACATTTCTAACAGAACAAAACAAACAAACAGACAAAACACAAAGTTTGAAAGTTTCATAGTTGATTAAATGTCCTTTGACCAGTATCTGGCCACTTGGAGTGCCTCTGGTGTTGCCGCAAGGAGGTCCTCCATTGTGCATGTGGCTGGGCTCAGGTTGCATTGCAGCAGGTGGTCAGTGGTTTGCTCTTCTCCACACTCGCATGTTGTGGATTCCACTTTGTAGCCCCATTTCTTGAGGTTGGCTCTGCATCTCGTGGTGCCAGAGCGCAGTCTGTTCAGCGCCTTCCAAGTCGCCCAGTCTTCTGTGTGCCCAGGGGGGAGTCTCTCATTTGGTATCAGCCGTTGGTTGAGGTTCTGGGTTTGAGCCTGCCACTTTTGGACTCTTGCTTGCAGCGAGTGTCTCTGTAGATCTTAGAAAACTATTCTAGATTTAAGTCGTTGACGTGCTGGCTGATACCCAAACAAGGGATGAGCTGGAGATGTCACTGCCTTGGTCCTTTCACTATTGGCTGCTACTTCCCGGTGGATGTCAGGTGGTGCGATACCGGCTAGACAGTGTAATTTCTCCAGTGGTGTAGGGTGCAGACACCCCGTGATAATGCAGCATGCCTCATTAAGAGCCACATCCACTGTTTTAGTGTGGTGAGATGTGTTCCACACTGGGCATGCGTACTCAGCAGCAGAGTAGCACAGCACAAGGGCAGATGTCTTCACTGTGTCTGGTTGTGATCCCCAGGTTGTGCCAGTCAGCTTTCGTATGATATTGTTTCTAGCACCCACTTTTTGCTTGATGTTCAGGCAATGCTTCTTGTAGGTAAGAGCACGGTCCAGAGTGACTCCCAGGTATTTGGGTGCTGCAATGCTCCAGTGGGATTCCTTCCCAGGTGATATGCAGATGATACCACTTTGATGGCCGAAAGCGAGGAGGAGCCGAGAAGCCTTCTAATCAAGGCGAAAGAAGAAAGTGCAAAAGCTGAGTTGCACTTAAACATAAAAAAAAACCAAGATTATGGCAACTAGACTGATTGATAACTGGTAAACAGAGGGAGAAAACATGGAGGCTGTGACAGACTTTGTATTTCTAGGCGCAAAGATGACTGCAGATGCAGACTGCAGCCAGGAAATCAGAAGACACTTACTTCTTGGGAGGAGAGCAATGACCAATCTTGATAAAATAGTGAAGAGTAGAGACATCACACTGGCAACAAAGTTTCCAGGTCTGGCTTCTTAGTGAACCAACCTGGGGACAGCATATGATTTGAGACCACAGAAATGCTGAACCGCTCTAACAACTACCGTGTCAGACAACACAGAGAAGCCACTGAAATCCACAAGCGTGTGGTCAATTTCAAATAATAATAATAATAATAATAATAATAATAATAATGTCGAAGGCTTTCATGGCTGGAATCACTAGGTTCTTGTGGGTTTTTTCGGGCTATAGGGCCATGTTCTAGAGGCATTTCTCCTGACGTTTCGCCTGCATCTATGGCAAGCATCCTCAGAGGTAGTGAGGTCTGTTGGAATTAGGACAATGGGTTTATATATCTGTGGAATGGCTGGGATGGGGCAAAGAGCTCTTCTCTGCTGGAGCTAGGTGTGAATGTTTCAACTGACCACCTTCATTAGCATTTGAAGGCCTGCTTGAGCCTGCTAATTATGCAAATAATGCAAATTATTATTATTATTATTATTATTATTATGCAAATGCTAATGAAGGTGGTCAGTTGAAACATTCACACCTAGCTCCAGCAGAGAAGAGCTCTTTGCCCCACCCCAGCCATTCCACAGATATATAAACCCATTGTCCTATTCCAACAGACCTCACTACCTCTGAGGATGCTTGCCATAGATGCAGGCGAAACGTCAGGAGAAATGCCTCTAGAACATGGCCCTATAGCCCGAAAAAACCCACAAGAACCTAATAATAATAATCTTTGTTTATACCCTGCCACCATCTCCCCCAATGGGGACTTGGAGCAGCTCACATGGGGCCAGGCCCAAACAACAGATTACAATACAAAAGAAAAAAATACAAAATTACAATGAAATAAACAACATAATATTAAAGTATAAAACATCAAAGCATATAAACAATATACATAAAACATACAAACCAAACATAAGGACAAAGAGTGGGCTGCATGTATATAAAATGATTTTTTTTAAAAAAAGGAAGAAATCATGAAAATGAAATCTGGCTACCAATATTTAAAAAAAACTCTAGAATTATAACAGTAAGTAAAGAACAACACCCAAACACAGTGGAATTCCAGACAAGAAACAATCAGGGCCAGCTAATCACCCCCAACAAAGGATTCCCCTATCAGTAAGAAGCCAGACCTTGAATTTGCCAGGCCATTAAATGCTAATCAACGTGGCCAATTGAAACATTCACATCTACCTCCAACAGACAAGAGTTCTTTCTCCCACCCTGGACATCGCAAAAATATATAAATCCAATTTTCCTAGTCAGGAGAGAATGCTTCTGGAACATGGCCATACAGCCCGGAAAACTCCCACAACCCAATATATTTGTTGTCGTACATGCATGTGAACTGAAGTTACCATATATGTGCAGTCTATGTTCTTTGCTATGCAGTCTATGTTCTTTGGCTGGTTTGTGCCAGGTGTGTTTTTGTGTATATATGTGTGCAGGAGCAGTGCTTTCTCCCATCTGTTTGTGTAGGTCACTGTCTGGCACGCTTCCTTCCTCGTTTTTTCCCTGCTATGCTTAGACTCTGAATTTACTTCCTAGCCAACCGCACATGTGTTGTGCGCGCGAGGTAGGAGGTTTGTCCTTGTTTGAACTTTAGTGCCAGTGGAAGGGTTGCATCGGGGTTAAATGCATGATTTTGGCTCTGAACCACTGGTATTCACTGACTCACCCGCCTGGCAAAACTTTACAGAGCTTCCAAAGCAAACCTTGGATATTTTTTTTTATATAGCAAGACTTTCAAGCCAGATTTTTCTTGGCTCGCAGCAAGGCAGGAGGGGAAAACGCACTGTAGAAAAGAGGGCTGGAATCTTTTCTTCCAGGATTTTAGCTTCCTTAAGCAGGGAGCTGGAGACTAGAACTCGGAACAGTGGGTTCAAATTACAGGAAAGAGATTCCACTTTTAACATTAGGAAGAAGTACCTGATTGTAAGAGCTGTTCAACAGTGAAACTCACTGCCTCAGAGTCCAGTGGAGGCTCCTTCCTTGTAGGCTTTTAAACAGAGGCTGAATGGTCATCTGTCACTAGTGCTTTGATTGTGCTTTTCCTGCATGACAGGGGGTTGGACTAAATGGCTTGTGTGGTCTCCGCCGAATCTATAATTCTATAGATTATGTTCTTCTGGGACTTCAGTCTCCACTGTTCTCAAAACTTCATTTTACTGTTATTGCTTTAATGTTTACTAGCCGTCCCCTGCCACGCGTTGCTGTGGCCCAGTCTGTTGATCTGAAAAATAAAATAATGAGAAAATGTTGGTTTCTAATATATGTAATTTCTTTCTGCTTGTGGGGAAACAGCATTTCTTGCTGTTTCTTTGTCAGTGTTGATGTGGAGAGTGTCTGGTTTGCCCACCCTGAAACATACAAGATATCATTGTCCTTCTTTAAGGGTCCCTTTCAAATCTATGATACTATATCTGTGTGAATCATATCTATATCTATGACTGGATGGCTATTTGTCAGGAGGGCTTTGGTTACATTTTCTTGCCCTGATGAAGGAAGTTGGATTGGATGGCCTTAAGTATTTTCTGTTGGTCATGGGCGTCCAGTGTGGGAAGTTTGCCCCGATTCTGTCATTTGTGGGGTTCAGAATGCTCTTTGATTGTAGGTGAACTATAAATCCCAGAAACTACAACTCCCAAATGTCAAGGTCTATTTTCCTCAAACTCCATCATTTTTCAGATTTGGGCATATTGAGCATCCATGCCAAGTCCATAATTGAGTCCACAGTGCTCTCTGGAGGTAGGTGAACTACAACTCCAAAACAAGGTCAATGCCCACCAAACCCTTCCATATTTCTGTTGGTCATGGGAGTTCTCTGTGCCAAGTTTGGTTCAATTCCATCACTGGTGGAGTACAGAATGCTCTTGGATTGTAGAGACAAAATGAAGTTTAACAGTGACAAATGCAAGATACTCCACTTTGGCAGGAAAAACAAAATGCAAAGATACAGAATGGGGGAGACCTGGCTCGAGAGCAGTACTTGTGAAAAAGATCTTGGAGTCCTCGTGGACAACAAGTTAAACATGAGCCAACAATGTGATGTGGCGGCAAAAAAAGCCAATTGGATTTTGGCCTGCATCAAGAGGAGCCTAGTGTCTAGATCTAGGGAAGTCATGCTCCCCATGCTCTATTCCGCTTTGGTTAGACCACACCTGGAATATTGTGTCCAATTCAAGAGAGATATTGACAAGCAGGAATGTGTCCAGAGGAGAGCGACTAAAATGATAAAAGGTCTGGAGAACAAGCCCTATGAGGAGCAGCTTAAGGAGCTGGGCATGTTTAGCCTGAAGAAGAGAAGGCTGAGAGGAGATATGATAGCCATGTATAAATATGTGAAAGGAAGCCACAGGGAGGAGGGAGCAAGCTTGTTTTCTGCTTCTCTGGAGATTAGAACGCAATGGAACAATGGCTTCAAACAACAGGAAAGAAAGGAGATTCTATCTGAACATGAGGAAGAATTTCCTGACTGTGAGAGCTGTTCAGCAGTGGAACTCTCTGCCCTGGAGTGTGGTAGAGGCTCCTTCTTTGGAAGCTTTTAAACAGAGGCTGGATGGCCATCTGTCAGGGGTGCTTTGAATGCAATATTCCTGCTTCTTGGCAGAATGGGGTTGGACTGGATGACATGAGGTCTCTTCCAACTCTATGATTCTACTAATGTTGGGGAGTGGTCCCTGGTCAAAAAAAGGTTGGGAACCACTGGTATAGATCTATGCCATTTTTTACTCTTGAGGGGTATACCTTAAAAATCATAACTTCTTGTTTCAGAGGAAGTCGAGTAAAGGCAAGGAGAAGAAACAGAAGCGGTTGGAAGAGAGGGCAGCCATGGATGCCGTCTGTGCCAAGGTGGAAGCTGCTAATAAAGTAGGTCCCATTCCCTCTTTTTACTCCACTTCTTGGAGAGACAGTATTAACTTTTTATGCGTTATGGCCAGGGATTTAGATAGATTAATCTAAACATTACATTAAAATATTATAAATATCTGACTTGGCCACGGTGGTACACGCTCTGGTCACATCCCGCCTTGACTACTGCAACGCTCTCTACGTGGGGCTGCCCTTGAAGACGGCCCGGAAGCTTCAGCTAGTCCAGCGCGCGGCAGCCATGTTACTAACGGGAGAGGGACGCAGGGAGCACACAACGCCCTTGTTGTCCCAGCTCCACTGGCTGCCGATCTGCTACCGGGCCCAATTTAAGGTGCTGGTGTTATCCTACAAAGCCCTAAACGGTTCCGGCCCAAAATACCTTTCGGACCGCATCTCGGCCTATGAGCCCACGAGGGCCTTGAGATCGTCTGGGGAGGCCCTTCTCTCGATCCCGCCTGCCTCACAGGCACGTCTGGCGGGGACGAGGGAAAGGGCCTTCTCGGTGGTGGCCCCCCGGCTGTGGAACACCCTCCCTATTGACATCAGACAGGCGCCCTCCCTTATGGCTTTCCGTAAGAGCCTAAAGACCTGGCTATTTGAAAAGGCATTTAATTGAGTGCTATACAAACTGGTAATGACAACTGGAACGGAATACGGACTATGAGATTGGCTATGATTCTATGTGTGACGATGCGGATTAGCTTAGTGTAAATTAGTTTAGTGTGTATTAGTGAAATGTTGATTTTGTTGTGCTTTATTGTATACTGTTTTTATATGTTGTACACCGCCGCGAGTCGCCCTTGGGCTGAGAGCGGCGGTTAACAAATGCAGTAAATAAATAAATAAATAAATAAATTAAAAAAAAAAACAAATCAAAGTCTTAAAGTGCAACTGTATTATAAGCAAGTAACTGGATAGCAATTAAAAATTCTTTCCTAAGCAAATTGTTAATTGTCTGAAAAACTTACAATTGGGTTGTTGTAGGTTTTTCCGGGCTATATGGCCATGTTCTGGAGGCAAAAACATGGCCATATAGCCCGGAAAAACCTACAACAACCCAGTGATTCCGGCCATGAAAGCCTTCGACAAAACTTACAATTGTTGGGGTTCAGCCTGCGTGTGAACTTGAACCTGATTCTCTGATTGCTGAACCTGAACCTGATTCTCTGATTGTATTTCCTGATGCTACTGAACATGTATTTCTCCCTGATGGTAATGAAAATGATTCCGAGGTCAGTGGCTTGGAAAGTGAAACTACACATTCTGATGAGAATGTTGCAGAGCCAAGCGGTGATAGCTCTCCAGAGGAGCTAACACCTAGCTTCCTTAATGAGGATAGAAAAAGACAGATTTGGAAAAACAGGAGTGAATTGCAGAGTCTGCGAAGGTCAAGCAGATTAATTAATTTATTTATTAATTTACTTCGTTTGTATACCGCTCTTCTCAGCCCTTACGCAACTCAGAGCGGTTAACAACAATTCCAATATACACAGTACAAAATCATTGGGCATTTAAAAGCAAAGCGATTAAACATCAGACATTAATACATCAATTTAACAAATTAAGGGAAAAGGAAGCTCAGGCTTCAAAGCCTGGAGGCGTGTCACGAAACAGTTTCTTCAGTTTTAAGTGCCTCTTGTTAGATCAGGCATCGTTTAGACTGAGGCATTACCTTAGCAGATTTCCCTGTTTCCCGTGGCCTACATTCCAAGAGGCTTCTAGTGCTCCAAGTACGGTTAGTGAATTGCTAACAGGTTCCAGGTTTTCACAGTGTTGCTTTTGGAATTTTGACCTAATTCATGGATATTCCTGACTGCTGAATTTTACTGTGGCTTTTTGACTTTGCATTTTCCTCTATTTTGTAACCATTTCTCATCAATAAAAAGGGATTGTATTTTCCCACAGTCAAGTGTGGTGGATTGTTATCGCATGGTCTCGTTTCCTGCTCTGGGTTGCAACAACAACAGCCCAGTGATTCCGGCCATGAAAGTCTTCGAGAATACATTAAATACAGTAGAGTCTTGCTTATCCAACATAAACAGACCAGCAGAAAGTTGAATAAGCTGAAATGTTGGATAATAATAATAATAATAATAATAATAATACTTTATTTGTACCCCGCTATCATCTCCCCAAGGGACTCGGTGCGGCTTACATTAGGCCGAGCCCACAATACAGCAATAAACAATAACAACAATAAATATAAGCAAAAATAAGCAATAAACATTAACAATAACACGACACATTTAAAAACCTATGGCTGGGCCAAATGTAATAATTAAAATTTCAAAAATAATGCTGGGCATGAACAAGGTGATATGTAACTGGGATAGGAGTTTTGGAGAGGGAAGAAATGTGCAGACAATCTTAATAAGGAGGGATAAAGGAAAAGCCTTTTAAATGTCAAATTACATTATGATTTTACAAATTAAGCACCAAAACACCATGTTTTACAACAAATCACCAGAAAAAGCAATTCAATACATGGCAACATTTTAGCTTATTCAACGTTCTACTGGTCTTTTTATGTTGGATAAGCAAGACTCTGCTGTATGGTGATGAGTTTGTGGTGATGAATTTGTGATTTTACTCTGACGACCTAGCTTTTGTAATTGTATGATATTGTATGATCTGTATTTTAATGTATTTTGTATTAATATATGATGATGCTATTACTCTGTGTATGAATTTTCTGCTGTTAGCCGGCCTGAGTCCCTCCTCGGAGGTCGAGAAGACCGGGTTATAAAATAAATAAATAGTAAATAAATAGTAATTTCTGTATTTATGAATTTATCACCAAAACAGACAAGGTTTCTTTCGTTTGCTAAGATTAAGATCTTCCGGAGAGCCTCTGCTCTCTATCCCGCCATTTTCTCAAGTACGATCGGCAGGGACGAGAGAGAGGGCCTTCTTAGTGATTGCCCCTCAGCTATGGAACTCCCTTCCTAATGAGATTAGATCAGCCCCTTCCCTCCTGTCCTTTAGAAGGATGATAAAAACTTGGCTGTCGAACGGAGCCTTTGGGACTATGCAATGAGGCAGTGATAGGAAATTTTAGTATGCCTCCCATATTTGATATGGATTTTTTGCGACAATTTTAAATGGAGGATTTTAACATTGAGATAAGTGATTTTAATGTGTATAATTACGTCCCAGCAATGCATGTTTGCTGTTTATATGTTGTGCTCAGCCCTGAGTCCCTTTTGGGGTGAGAAGGGGAGAATAGAAATGTTTTAAATAAATAAATAAATAAATACATTTCTTTATCCCACCCTGGACTGCGTTGGATAATACAGAACATTGGATAAGCGAAGATTGGATAAGCAAGACTCTAGAACAGATGGACGTGCTTTTGGTTTTGATGTTTGTGACCCAAAACCTCTTTCCTATGTAAGATAAGGCGGTAGCGATGCTCGGAACAGGTTGAGAAAGGATCAATGACCAATAAGATCCAGCCATTATCTTTTCTCCCACTACAGCATTGTACCAGTGGTCTTTGCCCGACTGCTTTTGAGGCACCAATCTTTTCCTTACTCTAGTGACTGTCTTTTCTTTTCCATAGTTGGGAGACCCCTTGGAAGCCTTTCCAGTTTTCAAGAAATATGACAGAAATGGGTGAGTAAAAATTCTGCAAAAGAATTGCAATCCTGGCTTGAGTCTTAACCCTCTAGCTCAGTGGTTCTCAACCTTCTTAATGCGGTGACCCCTTAATAGAGTTCCCAATGTTGTGGTGACCCCCAACCATAACATTATCGTTGCTACTTCATAACCGCAATTTTGCTACTGTTATGGATGGTAATGTAAATATCTGATATACAGGATGTATTTTCATTCACTAGACCAAATTTGGCACAAGTACCCGATACACCCAAATTTGAACACTGGTGGGGTGGGTATTGATTTTGTCATTTGGGAGTTGTAGTTGCTGGGATTTATAGTCCACCTACAATCAAAGAGCATTCAGAACTCCACCAACAATGGAAATGAACCAAACTTGGCACACAGAACTCCCATGACCAATCGAAAATACTGGAAGAGTTTGGTGGGCATTGACCTTGCATTTTGAAGTTGTAATTCACCTTCATCCAGAGAGCATGGTTAAAGTCAAATAGTGATGGATCTGGACCAAGCTTGGCACGAATACACAATATTCCCAAATGTGAACACTGATGGAATTTGGGGGAAATAGACCTTGACATTTGGGAGTTGTTGCTGGGATTTATAGTTTGTTTGTTTGTTTGTTTGTTTACTGCATTTGTATGCCGTCCTTCTCACCCCGAAGGGGACTCAGAGCGGCTTACAATATATATTTTCATACAATATATTATATTATTAGCAAAGTACAATATCAGTATTATAAATTACAATATTGCACTATACCATGATACTGTAATATTATTAGTAATATTACATGTAATGTAAAAATATAATTATAATTATAATATTGTATTATTATTATTACTAGTATTATCTTGTATTACATTATAATATAAATATTATATGTATATACAATATACTATATTATATTATTAGTAAAGACAAGATGGAAGTGTCTTCTGCTCCCCTCTGTCTTCTCTCTGGCCACAGCAGCCATTGGTGCCATAGGGGGGAGGGGCCTCCCAATTGATGATATAGGCAGAAGACAAGATGGAAATGGGTTGTTGTAGGTTTTTCCGGGCTATATGGCCATGTTCTAGAGGCATTTTCTCCTGACGTTTCACCTGCATCTATGACAAGCATCCTCAGAGGTAGTGAGGTCTGTTGGAAGTAGGAAAATGGGTTTATATATCTGTGGAATGACTAGGGTGGGACAAAGGACTTTTGTCTGCTGCAGCTAGGTGTGAATGTTTCAACTGACTACCTTGATTAGCATTGAATGGCTTGGAAGTGCCTGGGGGGAATCTTTTGTTGAGAGTGATTTGATGTACCTGATGTTTACTCTCTGTTGTTTTGCTGTTGTGATTTTTGAGTTTTTTAATACTGGTAGCCAGATTTTGTTCATTTTCATGGTTTCTTCCATGCTGGACCACTCTCACAACCACCATGTCAGACTACACAGAGAAGCCATTGAAATCCAGAAGCATGTGGACAGAAAGGAGGAAACCATGAAAATGAACAAAATCTGGCTACCAGTATTAAAAAAACTAAAATTACAACAGCAAAACAACAGAGAGGAAACAACCAGGCACATCTTAACACCTCTCAACAAAAAATAATATCACACAGTCCTAGACACTTCGGAAGTGGTCAGTTGAAACATTCACACCTAGCTCCAGCAGACAAGAGTCCTTTGTCCCACCCTGGTCATTCCACAGATATATAAACCCATTTTCCTAGTTCCAACAGACCTCACTACCTCTGAGGATGCTTGCTATAGATGCAGGCGAAACGTCAGGAGAAAATGCTTCTAGAACATGGCTGTATAGCCCGGAAAAACCTACAACAACCCAGTGATTCCGGCCATGAAAGCCTTCGACAATACAAAATGGAAGTGTCTTCTGCTCCCCTCTGTCTTCGCTCTGGCCAGAGCAGCCGTTGTAGTTCACCTACAGTCAGAGCATTCTGAACTCCAGCAACGATGGAATTGAACCCAACTTGGCACACAGAACTCCCATGACCAACAGAAAATACTGGAAGCATTTGGTTGGCATTGACTTTGAGTTTTGGGGTTGTAGTTCACCTACCTCCAGAGAACACTGTGGACTTAAACAATGATGGATCTGAACCACACTTGGCATGAATACTCCATATGCTCAAATGTGAACACTGGTGGAGTTTGGGGGAAAATAGACCTTGACATTTGGGAGTTGTAGTTTCTGGGATTTATAGTTCGCCTACAAGCAAAGAGCATTCTAAACCGCTCCAATGATAGAATTGGGCCAAACTTCCCACACAGAACCCCTGTGACCAACAGAAAATGCTTCCAAAAAGGAAGAGAAGGATAGGCAGAGAGATCTTCAACCTCCTCTGCTAAAGCTATCAGATATATGTGTTTTCTGATGGTATTTGGCGACCCCTCTGAAACCCCCTCGTGACCTCCACAGCGGTCCCAACCCCCAGGTTTAGAAACGCTGCTCTAGCTTCTTTTCTCTTATTGTGAATGATTTACAAGTTTTTGAGTTCGTACTTTGCACACTCTAAATCTTATGCTACTGTCCCCTGATACAAATTGTCATCTCCTGACTCTCAATCCAGGTCCGGTGAATTACAGTCTTAACATCCTGCCCGTCTATCCTCTTGTCTCGTTGCAGATTAAATGTTTCCATCGAGTGTAAACGCGTATCCAGCTTGGACCCAGCCACCCTCGACTGGGCTTTTGAACTCACCAAAACAAACATGCAAACGTTGTAAGTCCCTAAGGGATGCTCAAGGATAATGGGAGATACTGGGAGCTTTTTTGCAACAGGTGTGAGCAGGACGAGAGAAAAGTCTTCCTCAAAAGCAGTGATTCCCAAATGTTGTTGTTTTGGACTTGCAATTCTCAGAAGCTCCAGCTGACTTACTCAACAGTCAGGAATTCTGAAGCCTAAAATATCTGGAGGACCAAAGCTTGGGAATCACTGATATGGGACATGCTTTGTGAACACAGCCCCAGGTCTAGTCCTTATCATCTCCAGATGAAAAGGATGGGGAGCTGGGAAAGTAATGTCCTGAGATCCTGAACAATGGCTTGCATTAAGTTCAGATACCTTACTTACTTTACTTATTTACTTAAGTGATCCTTCGTTTGCCGAGTAGGATAGTCTTCCGGGATCAGTGTTCTGGTGGGTCCATAGGTGACTGTGGAGCCCTATTCTTGATCTGCATCTTCTCCCATAGTGAGGGCATCGGTTTCGAGGTGGAAGGCGGTCTTGGTCGGGGTTGGCTTGATGCGCATTCCTCTTGGCACGTTTGTCTCTTTCGCCCTCCATTCGTGCCTCTTCAAATCCTACAGCACTGGTAGTCACAGCTGACCTCCAGCTGGAGTGCTCAAGGGCTAGGGCTTCCCAGTTCTCAGTGTCTATGCCAGAGTTTTTAAGGTTGGCTTTGAGCCCATCTCTTTTCCTGCCCTCCAACATTCCGTTTTCCGTTCTTGAGTTCGGAATAGAGCAACTGCTTTGGGAGACGGTGGTCGGGCATCCGGACAATGTGGCCGGTCCAGCGGAGCTGATGGCGGAGGACCATTGCTTCAGTGCTGGTGGTCTTTGCTTCTTCCAGCACGCTGGCGTTTGTCCGTCTATCTTCCCAAGAGATTTGCAGGATTTTCTGGATGCAGTGCTGATGGAATCATTCCAGAAGTTGCATGTGATGTTTGTAGACATAAGTTTCCTGTCGTAGTCAACTACGAATTGCACACATGGTATTCCTGCGCCTGCGCAGTTCAACTTCGGAACCTTCTAGAATAGAAAAAATGACATATATGACACTGCCTGGCCCCGCCCCCCCTCCCCCCTCCCCTCTCGAGTATATATAGCCCACGCGGGGCCAGGCCCCCTCAGTTCTCTTTATCCGCCAGCGATTCAACTAGAGAACCTTCTTCGTGATCGACTCATAGGTAGACTACTGGTTTTTTGACTCGGACTGGCCCTCGTGTATGCTCTAATTCTCTGACCCGGACTGTGCCTGACTTCTCCTCTTGTCTTCTGCCTGGCTAAACTGATTCGGACTGTTTCGACCTTTCTCGGGCTACTTGCTATTGGCTGTTGTGACTGATCGCCTTCCTAACCACCTATGGCGACCACGTCCTTCAAGAAGTGCACTCAGTGCCCTAATACTCTCCCGGACACGGACGGGCACTCGCTGTGCTTGGCCTGCTTGGGAGAGGCCCATCTTGCTCAACCTTGCAAGATTTGTCAGGCTTTTACGCCTCAGACCCGAAAGAACAGGGTCTCCAGGTTAAAAGCGGCTTTGTATGAAAGGGCCCTTCTCCCGCCAGCGCCTCCGGCCCAAACCGCCAGGCCCCCCACACTACCGGGCCCCAAATTGCCCCAACATGGCGGAGTCGCCAAAAAGAAAGTTAAAAAAGCAAAGGAGGCTGTCCTCCAAGATGGCGCTCGAGCTTCTCCGGGTCTCCCGGGACCAGGCAAAAGGGCGGGAAGTGAGACGGCCATTCACTCACCTCCAACTCGCCTTCCTCCCGCACAGCAACGCGTGGAGCGAGCGCCCCCTCTCGAGGCTGCGCGGCTCTCCTCTCTCCACCCTTCGGGGTCGGCGCAGCCGCTGGGCGCGGGAAGCCTGCCGCCTTTGACGCTACCGGGAGAAGTAGCGCTTGCACTCACGCCCTCAGAGCCCGCCGAGAGCGATAGGCAAGCGAACCCGCCTCTGCCGGTGTCTGCCCTTACTCCTCCGATGTCGGGAGACCCAGGGATCCAGGCGGGAGGGGCTGCCCCTCACGATACCGAGGGCGCCCTCCCTGAACAGCTGCTCCCTCCGATGCCGGCTCCATCTCCGGGAGGGGGCGTGGCCTCGCCCCCAATGCAAATGGCTGGGCCCTCTTCCTCGATCTTTGGAGGAGCGGCCTCTCAACACTCCTCCCCCCCCTCGACATCGGCTGCTCTTCAGGGCGGGGGCGAGGAGAGGAGGGCTCAACGTCTCGAGCCGCCACGGCGCTGCTCCCGGCGGTCGAGACGTGCACGCTCCCCTTCGCGATCGTCCAGAGGATCTGGACGCCGTCGGCGCAGATCGCCCTCTTCGTCCTCATCCTCCTCCTCCTCTTCAGGGTGTTCGAGAAGGAGGCGTCGCTCGAGGTGGTCCCGATCCCCTTCACGCAGGGAACACCGGATGCCTGTTCCAGCGCCCCCACCTCTGCCTTTTCAAGGTTTCTGGCAGCTATCTTCTACGGGGCAATATGTGTTTGTGCCCACAATGGGGCCTCCTCAACCACCTTTCCCGATGTCGTCGACACCGGCCATGCCCCTTCCCATGCATAGGATGACGGCGCCGGCTGCCCCTCCCCCTCCCCAGGGGCCTTTGACTGTGATGCCCGGCAACTCTCTGCAGGGGGCGCACGCTTTGAATGTGCCATCAGGTAGGGGAGCTAACACTGTCCCTCCCTCTGTTCATGACACCCCCCCTCTCCCACTGCTGTGCGAGGGCGAGCTGCAGCTCACTGATGTCCAGCCAGATACCCTAGAGGGGCAGGAGCCTGGACTTGGAATAGAGGACATTGACAACTATGACTCGGCCCCCGGCTCTCCTGATCCGGCCCAAGCTGCGGGGACTATAGATGAAACTATGGACAGATCTCCTGACTTCAATAAGTTTGCTTCCCTCGTTAGCAGAATGATAAAGGCTCTGGACCTGCCGGCCCCAAAGCCATCTGAGCACGTGGAGGACCCGATGTTCCCCTCGGATGAGCAGAACATCGTGTCCCCCACTGCGTTGCCTCCACTTCCTTACTTACTTAAGTTGGCCAGGGTATCTGAGGTAGCCCCCCCGCTGGTGGCGGCTGTACCCAGAAGGGTAGATGCCCTGTATAAGATTGATTTGTCATCCGCAAAATGGGTCTCCAACCCCCCCAGACCTAACACGGTGGTGGCTGAGGTCGCCAAAGCCAAACGACAGAAGGGCGCTTTGACAACCCCTCCTGACAGAGAGGGTAGAAAGGTGGACGCACTGGGTAGGAAGGCGCACCTCTCGGCGGGGTTGTTCACAAGGATGTCCCATTTTGCCACCTACATGAGCGGCTATCAAAAATTCCTGTGGGAGCAGATCCTGCCTTATTTGGATTCCCTGCCGCCAGATAGCCAACGCTTCCCTAAAGCCTTGCAGGAGGAAGCCGTAGTATTGGCACGCTTCCAGAAAGATTTCGCCAAGCACCTGGCCGAAGCAGCGGGCAACCTTTTTGCCATCGCCACTTCGATCAGGAGGCACGCTTGGCTTCGGGCAGCCAACCTTTCTGAGGAGGGTAAAGCCCTTGCAGAAGACCTCCCACTACATGTGGATGGGCTCTTCAACCCAGAAACAGATGAGAAATTGAAAAGCAAACAGGAAGTTCGCCAAGCGGCGAGCAAATTTGGCTATTCGTGGCAGCCAAATGCCCAACCAAAACCCAGATGGCAACAACAGCAGCCCTTTGGCTTCCGCAGGAATTACTCAAACTCCTTTGCGGGTCCCTACAGGAACCGCAATTCGGGTTTCTCTAGGTTCCAATCTGGCAGGAGAGCTCCCTATGGAGCCAGATCCAAGTTCCAGTCTTTCCAAAACAAGCCTAGGACCCAGCCCGCATCCAAGAAGCGGGTTTGACACGGGTACGGAATCTGGGGCGACTCAGCCGGAGTCCGTTTGTTCTTTGGTTTCACTATCACCCTGTTCACCGGCTGAGGTCACAAGGGCAAGCTGCCCGTCCCCATTGTTCTATGAGAGATTGGCCCCATTTTACGATGTTTGGGCACAAGTTACTTCTGATAAATGGGTTCTTTCTATTGTTAAGAATGGGTATAGGATTGAGTTTGAGAGTGTACCTCCTACGGGAGAGCCTATATCCACGCCTGTTTCCCTGCCCTTGTCTGAAGAAGTTCAAGCCCTGTTGGCAAAAGGAGCCATCTCTGCTGTTAGCCCTGTTATGTTCCAATACTGTTTTTTCTCACGATATTTTTTAGTGAATAAACGAAGTGGGGGATTCCGGGCCATTATGGACCTCAGATCCCTTAATAAACATATTCCTCCAAAGAGATTCAGAATGGTCACTTTGTCTATGATCATGCCGTTGTTATTCCAGGGCGCTTGGTTCGCTACGGTTGACTTGAAAGATGCCTATTTTCATATCTCTATTGTACCGCATCACCGTAGATTTTTGTCGTTCATGATTGGTCATCAGGCTTACTGTTACAACGCCTTACCTTTCGGCCTTTCGACAGCGCCCAGGGTGTTCACAAAATGCATGTCTGTGGTGGCGGCCCACCTCCGCACCAGGGGAGTAACGGTGTACCCCTATATTGATGACTGGCTGGTTGTTGCCAACTCCCCTGAGCAACTAGAACATCATGTTTCTATTATTTTGTCTTTGCTCCAGTCCCTGGGTCTGGTCATCAATCCGGAGAAGTCCTCTCTCACTCCTGCCAGACGGATGCAGTTCATCGGGGCGCTGCTGGACTCTGTCTCTCAGAGGGCCTACCTCCCTCCAGACCGTTTCAGCAAATTGCAGGAGTTGGTCAGACATGCTGTCACTGCCCCCAGAGTAACTGCGAAGCAGGTTCAGGTCCTGTTGGGGCACATGGCCTCAACCACGGCTGTCACTCCCTACGCTCGGTTGAAAATGCGGCCCCTCCAGTTTTGGTTTCTCTCGGTGTTCAACCCCCTTGGGGACCACCCGTCCACCTCTCTGTCCATTCCACCCAATATCAGACTCTCCCTTACGGAGTGGATGGACCAGCGTTGGGTATGCCAGGGCCTCCCTTTCCAGCCTCCATCTCCTGTCAGGTCTATGACTACAGACTCGTCCCTGTCGGGTTGGGGGGCTCACTCTCAGGGTTTAATCGCTCAGGGGGTGTGGTCCGCAAACGAGGCAGGCATGCACATAAACGTACTCGAACTGCTCGCGGTGTACAGGGGTCTACAGTCTTTCGAAAGGGTGTTGTCAGGGAAGGTCATCCAAGTACTCACCGACAACACCACGGTGATGTACTACTTGAACAAGCAAGGGGGCACGCACTCGGGACCCTTGTTAGACCTGTGCTTGGAGATATGGAATTGGTGCATCAGCAAGGGAATACACCTCGTAGTCACTCACCTTCCGGGGGTGGACAACGGCCTTGCAGATGTGCTGAGCAGGAGTCCCATGGCCCACCACGAGTGGTCCCTAAACGGGGAAGTATTGTCCGACCTGTTCAGGGTCTGGGGCACTCCAGAGGTGGATCTATTCGCAACTCTTCAGAACACCAAGTGTCGGCTGTTTTGCGCCCGTTGCCATCCGATACCACAGTTAGGCTSYCTGGGAGATGCGTTCCTCCATCATTGGGGGGGCAGACTGCTTTACGCATTTCCCCCATTCCCTCTGTTACTCCGAGTGGTTGCGAAAATCAGGAGGGACAACGCACATTGCGTTCTAGTGACACCTTGGTGGCCCCGTCAGCCTTGGTTTGCCCCCCTTCTCCAGTTATCACGGAACAATTTTCTCCAGTTTCGTCACAGATCAGATCTGTTGACGTCTCAAGGGGGTCAGGTGCTGTATCCCGGGGTGCACCAGCTTCGATTGACGGCATGGCTCGTGCTGCCGAACCATTGACTGCTTTTGCTGAACTGTCTGGTCCGGTCCGCTCTATTATTGAGGCGGCCCATAGACCTTCGACAAAAAGATCATATCTATACAAATGGGCTAAGTTTAAGAACTTTGTGGCACAAAAGGATGTCACGCCTGAGAAAGCACCTATCTCATTAATACTTGATTTTTTGGTTTCGTTGTTAGATGCGGGCCTTTCGGGTTCGTCCTTAAAATGCTATCTGGCCGCCATTTCTTGGTTTCGGCGAAAAGCGGGCCTTCCATCGTGTTTTGGGGATCCAATGGTTAGAATTTTTCTACGGGGTGTTGCTAATACTAGGCCCTATGYATCCCCTGTTTCCCCTTCCTGGAGTTTGGAATTGGTGTTAACAGTTTTGATGAGGCCTCCTTTTGAACCGCTAGCAACGATAGATTTATCTTATTTATCTTGGAAAGTGGCCTTTTTAGTGGCCATAACGTCGGCTAGGAGGGCCAGTGAATTGTGCGCTTTACGGGTTGATCCTCCTTATCTTAGATTTCACAAAGATAAGGTTGTATTGCGCACAGACATTACCTTTCTCCCCAAAGTTTCTACAACTTTTCACATGTCTCAGGAGATTGTTCTTCCCTCCTTTTTTCAGAAGCCTACAACGTCTCTGGAAAAGGGTTGGCATTGTTTGGATGTTCGTAGGGCATTGGCATTTTATGTAGAAAGGACATCTGACATTAGGAAAACGCCAAGGTTGTTTATTAAATATCGTAAGGATACAAGGGGGTTGCCAGTGTCCTCCCAGCGTTTTTCCTCCTGGGTGGTGTCCGTAATTCGTTTGTGCTACAAACTGTCTGGTAAAGACTTACCTCAACAGGTGAAGGGTCATTCAACCCGAGCGGTGTCAACATCTGTTGCTTTTATGAGAGGTGTGCCTTTGGACGCCATTTGTAGAGCTGCCATCTGGACGACTCCACTGTCCTTCGTGTCGCATTATAAGATGGATGTCGTGTCCAAGAGACAAGCTGAGTTTGGGAGATCGGTTCTGTTTTCAGCGGTGGCATGACGCCCACCGTCCACGGTTAGTAGCTTGCTAGTCTACCATGTGTGCAATTCGTAGTTGACTACGACAGGAAATTATAAGTTGCTTACCTGTAACTGTAGTTTCCTGAGTAGTCACCTACGAATTTGCACAACCCGCCCTTCCTCCCCTCGAGTGTCATGCCCCCGTCTTCTGCTGTTGGGCGGAAGAGAACTGAGGGGGCCTGGCCCCGCGTGGGCTATATATACTCGAGAGGGGAGGGGGGAGGGGGGGCGGGGCCAGGCAGTGTCATATATGTCATTTTTTCTATTCTAGAAGGTTCCGAAGTTGAACTGCGCAGGCGCAGGAATACCATGTGTGCAATTCGTAGGTGACTACTCAGGAAACTACAGTTACAGGTAAGCAACTTATAATTTTGCAGGCATATAGCAGGGTTGGGAGGACAATAGCTTTATAAACAAGCACCTTTGTAACCCTACATATGTCCCGGTCCTCAAACACTCTCTGCTTCATTCGGGAAAATGCTGCACTCGCAGAGCTCAGGCGGTGTTGTATTTCAGTGTCAATGTTGACATCTGTAGACAGTCCACGTCTTGCAGGCGTATAGCAGGGTTGGGAGGACAATAGCATTATAAACAAACACCTTGGTATCCCTACGGATGTCTCGGTCCTCAAACACTCTCTGCTTCATTAGGAAAAATGCTGCACTCGCAGAGCTCAGGCGGTGTTGTATTTTGGTGTCGATGTTGGCTTTGGTGGAGAGGTGGCTGCCAAGGTAGTGGAAATGGTCAACATTTTCGATTGTTACACCATTAAGCTGTATTTCTGGCATTGGAGAGGGGTTGGCTGGTGTCTGCTGGAACAGCACTTTGGTTTTCTCGATGTTCAATGACAGGTTGAGCTTGTATGCTTCTGCGAAGGTATTTAGAGTGGCTTGTAGATCTTCTTCTGAATGCTCGCAGACGACATTGTCATCAGCATACTGGAGTTCTAAAACAGATGTTGTTGTAACCTTGGTTCAGATATGTTGTAAACCAAGGTTCAGATATCAAGCTGGATGGATTAGTGGTTTGTCTTTCCATAAGCCAGGTTCCTGTGCTGTGTATATGTATGCCTACAGTTGAAGTTGCTGCAAAATCACTCTCCTCTTAGCAGTAGCAAACTGCTTTTGACAACTCTTGGTGGGGAGTGTGCGGATGGCTAGCAGAATATACTGCAAATTTGTGTGTTCTGTGTAGTACAACATATCTAGAATACCTTTCCATCCCCCTTAACAATTGTAAAGTTGGGTCCTTTTATGATATTGTTGAGAAATGCTGCTTATAGTTGAGAGGGAGAAGGGTTTGTTTCTAAACCAATTACAATGATGGAAATTTCCTTTGCTCAGCTAACCTCTTCCTGAAGGAAAGGGTTTGTAATTTAGTTTTTTCTCCTTTTTTATGTTTTCTTACCCTTGAAGGTATGAGCAGAGTGAATGGGGCTGGAAGGACCGGGAGAAACGGGATGAGATGACAGATGACCGTGCTTGGTACCTGATAGCTCTGGAAGATGGCTCCCTTCCTGTGGCTTTCTCACACTTCCGCTTTGATGTGGAATGTGGGGACGAGGTACTTTATTGGTACGTCTTTTTACTTGGAATGCTAATGTGCTCCCCCTTTTTTCCCTAGAAGATGTGCCCATGTGAGCAGTAACAGAATTAAATTTTGAAATAGGAAATGCCTGATAGATCACTGAATAATGCAGACACAGCTTGGACCTGCCAAAAATGTTTGTGTGCATAGTCATTTGTTGAGGAGTATATGATCCTCAGCCTTAAGATGAGGGTTACATTTCAAAAACATTTGAAAAGTCATCCATATCCCAGTTCTGCAATAAGGAAGGGAACATTGTATAGTGTAGGCTCTCTATACAACAGAGGCTGAACATCAGCCTCTGTTGGGTGAGAAACGATGGGAAAGACTTATCAGCATCTAGAGCGCTGTCTGTTTCTTAGCCCTGATAATAAGGGTTTGAAAGCTGATTATGTAAGATCCTGGATAGAGATTGGTTGAGGCTGCAGAAATTAAGGAATTGAAGAAACATGCAAGACTGGAATGTTGCAGTGCTAACCAAAACACTAAGCTCTCGAGCAGTGGTTCTCAATCTGGGGGTCCCCAGATGTTTTGGCCTTCAACTCCCAGAAATCCTAACAGCTGATCAATAATAATAATAATTATAATTATTATTATTATTATTATTTGTACCCTGCTACCATCTCCTCAAGGGACTCGGTGCAGCATACATGAGGCCAAGCCCACAGCACATCAATAAACAAAGGCAATAACAATCAATACAAACAGTTAAAATAAAACTCAATAAACAAAAAATACACAATAAGCAATAAATAATAACAATAGCATACAGCATTAAAAAAAACCTATGGCCGGGCCAAATGTAATAATTAAAATTTAATGTATTGTCGAAGGCTTTCATGGCCGGAATCACTGGGTTGTTGTAGGTTTTTTCGGGCTATATGGCCATGGTCTAGAGCAGGGGTAGGGAACCTTTGGCCCTCCAGCTGTGGTGGACTTCAACTCCCACAATTCCTTGAGGCTCGGCATTGGGCCAAGGTAAGCCTTTGGGGCGAATGCCGAGCCTCAAGGAATTGTGGGAGTTGAAGTCCACCACAGCTGGAGGGCCAAAGGTTCCCTACCCCTGGTCTAGAGACATTCTCTCCTGACGTTTCGCCTGCATCTATGGCAAGCATCCTCAGAGGTAGTGAGGTCTGTTGGAACTAGGAAAAAGGGTTTATATCTGTGGAATGACCAGGGTGGGACAAAGGACTTTTGTCTGCTAGAGCTAGGTGTGAATGTTTCAACTGACCACCTTGATTAGCATATAATGGCCTGACAGTGCCTGGAGCAAACTTTTGTTGAGAGGTGATTAGATGTCCTTTGTTGTTTCCTCTCTGTTGTTTTGCTGTTGTAATTTTAGAGTTTTAGAGTTTAGAGTGGTCCAGCATTTCTGTGTTCTCAAATAATATGCTGTGTCCAGGTTGGTTCATCAGGTGCTCTGCTATGGCTGACTTCTCTGGTTGAAGTAGTCTGCTGTGCCTTTCATGTTCCTTGATGCGTGTCTGGGCAATGCTGCGTTTGGTGGTCCCTCTGTAGACTTGTCCACAGCTGCATGGTACATGGTAGACTCCTGCAGAAGTGAGAGGATCCCTCTTGTCCATTGCTGAACGTAGCATTTGTTGGGATTTTCTTGATGGGTCTGTAGATAGATTGTATGTTGTGTTTCCTCATCAGCTTCCCTATGCGGTCAGTGGTTCTCTTGAAGCATGTGGACAATTTCAACAGAAAGGAGGAAACCATGAAAATGAACAAAATCTGGCTACCAGTATTAAAAAACTTTAAAATTACAACAGCACAACAGAGAGGAAACAAACAAGAACATCTAATCACCTCTCAATAAAAGTTTGCTCCAGGCACTGTCAGGCCATTATATGCTAATCAAGGTGGTCAGCTGAAACATTCACACCTATCTCCAGCAGACAAGAGTCCTTTGTCCCACCCTGGTCATTCCACAGATATATAAACCCTTTTTCCTAGTTCCAACAGACCTCACTATCTCTGAGGATGCTTGCCATAGATGCAGGCGAAACGTCAGGAGAGAATGCCTCTAGACCATGGCCATATAGCCCGTAAAAACCTACAACAACCCAAATAAAATTAAAATGCTGGGGCATGAACAAGGTAAGGTAAACTAGGATAGGGTTATCAAAGAAAGAAGTGGGCGCGCAGGCAATCCTAAATCAATATTAAAGTGCATTTGAGGACATATTGCTAAGAGTTCTCCTTATTCTGGGAAGGCACACTGGAACAACCACGTTTTCAGGCTCCTCCTAAAGACCGCCAGCGTTGGGGCATGTCTGATGTCCTTAGGGAGTGAATTCCAGAGTCGAGGGGCCACCACCGAGAAGGCCCTCGTCCCCACCAATCGCACCTGCGAAGGAGGTGGGAGCATGAGCAGGGCCTCTCCAGATGATCAAAGAGATCGTGTGGGTTCGTACACAGAAATGTGGTCACGCAGGTAGGCGGGTCCCAAACCATTCAGGGCTTTGTAGGTAAGAACCTGCACCTTGAATTGGGACCGGAAAATGAACGGCAGCCAGTGGAGCTCCCTAAACAGGAGGGTTGACCGCTACCTGTAAGAAGCACCAGTTAGTAACCTGGCTGCTGTCTGTTGTACCAATTGAAATTTCCGGGCCGTTTTCAAGGGCAGCCCCACGTAGAGTGCATTACAGTAATCCAGTAAACCTTTCTCTTCTGACAAGCTTTCGATGGGTGAATAACTCGGGACTATGTCTGTTCTTGTTTTTATTGTATTTTAAAGTTAATTGTATTGTTTTAATCTACTGCTGTAAACCGCTCCGAGCCAAATTGGGAGTGGCGGTATACAAGTCAAATAAATAATAATAATAATAATAATAATAATAATAATAATTATTATTATTATTATTATTATTATTATTATTATTATTATTATTATTATTATTGGGTGGGATTTCTGGGAGTTGTAGGCCAAAATGCCTGGGGACCAGCAGGTTGAGAACCACTGCTCTAGAGATTTCAAGTTTGAAACAATATGCATTTTGGGGTTGACACTCCTTTCTCTGCCGACCTCTCTCTTGCTCTCCCCCAGTTACGAAGTGCAGCTGGAAAACAAAGTGAGAAGGAAAGGCTTGGGCAAATTTCTTATACAGATACTTCAGCTTGTGGCAAATGGGTAAGTTGTTCATATTTATTTATTATTTATTAATACGCTTGTATACCGCTAATATCTCAGCCTAAAACGGCGACTCATTGCGGTTTACAACACTTAAAACAACAATATTCAATTTAAAAACATAAAATAAATATACAGTACACAGTATCGGGCCACCGATACAGACCGATGCATCTCTTAGTTAAAATCATAATCCAATTTCGTCATCTATAATTACCAGTCCTTGATCATCAACTTCATCGCACCGGATTAACCGAATGCTTGTTCAAACATCCATGTTTTCAGTTTTTTTCGAAATACCATCAGCGAGGAGGCTGATCTTATCTCTATAGGGAGGGCATTCCAAAGCCGAGGGGCCACCACAGAGAAGGCCCTGTCTGTGGTGGCCCCTCGGCTTTGGAATGCCCTCCCTATAGAGATTCATACTCTCCATATTGTACAACCCTTTTTTTTTTTTTTGGTCAGAAGTTGCAATTTGTAGCTTGCCCGGTGTGAGAGAGATGGCAACCCGCTCCTAACTGATAATTGGGAATTCATCTAAATCATTGGTCTTCTAGAGCAGTGTTTCTCAGCCTTCCTAATGCCGTGACTCCTTAATGCAGTCCCTCATGTTGTGGTGACCCCCAACCATAACATTGTTTTTGTTGCTACTTCATAACAGTCATTTTACTACTGTTATAAGTCATAATGTAAATATCTGATATGCAAGATGTATTTTCATTCACTGGAACAAACTGGGCACAAATACCCAATGCGCCCACATGTAAATGCTAGTGGGGTTGGGGGAGGATTGATTTTGTAATTTGGGAGTTGTAGTTGCTGGGATTTATAGTTCACCTACAATCAAAGAGCGTTCTGAACTCCACCAACAATGGATTTGAACCTAATTTGCCATACAGAACTCCCATGACCAATGGAAAACATTGGAAGGGTTTGGTGGGTATTGACCTTGAGTTTGGGAGTTGTAGTTCACCTATATCCAGTGAGCACTGTGGACTCACGCAATGGTGGATCTGGACCAAACTTGGCACAAATACTCAATATGCGCAAATGTGAACACTGGTGGAGCCTGGGGAAAATAGACCTTTGGGGAGTTGTAGTTTCTGGGATTTATAGTTCATTACAATCAAAGAACATTCTGAACTCCACCAACGATAGAATTGGCTCAAACTTCCCATATGGAATCCCCATGACCATCAGAAAATACTGTGTTTTCTGATGGTCTTTGGTGACCCCTCTGACACCCCTTCGCAACCCCCTCAGGGGTCCCGACTCCCAGGTTGAGAAACTCTGTTCTAGAGCCCCCGGTGTCAGTAGAAGACCGACAGGTCGTAGGTTCGAATCCGGGGAGAGGCGGATGAGCTCCCTTTATCAGCTCCAGCTCCTCATGCGGGGACATGAGAGAAACCTCTCACAAGGATGATAAAAACATCAAATCATCCAGGCGTCCCCTGGGCAACGTCCTTGCAGACAGCCAATTCTCTCACACCAGAAGCGACTTGCAGTTTCTCAAGTCACTCCTGATACGACAAAAAAAAATTGGTCTTCTAGCAAGGAGCTGTGTTCAGTTTTGCCTCTATCTCTTTTGACCTTATCCTCTCCCTGATTTTCTCAGCACACAGATGAAGAAAGTCATGTTAACAGTATTTAAACACAACCATGGGGCCTACCAGTTCTTCAGAGAAGCTTTACAGTAAGAATTTGACTTAATTCTTTTCGTCTCCACAAACTAAGACACGCAAAGTAACAATTGGGAGGGTCTGAAGATGTCTGGGGTGGTAGGAATGCTCTTTTGGTGAGCCGGAACAAATTCCTTGCTTGTTTGTTTGAAGTTATGTGTAAAGCTTATAACTCCTTTTGTGGTTGTCTTATTATTTATTTTATTTATTTACAGCTTTTATATTCCGCCCTTCTCACCCCGCAGGGGACTCAGAGCGGATTACAGTGTACACATATATGGCAAACATTCAGTGCCAATTTTTGACATACAAACATATACAGACATGTTGTTGTTGTTCATTCGTTCAGTCGTCTCCGACTCTTCGTGACCTCATGGAACAGCCCACGCCAGAGCTCCCTGTCGGCCGTCACCACCCCCAGCTCCTTCAAGGTCAGTCCAGTCACTTCAAGGATGCCATCCATCTATCTTGCCCTTGGTCGGCCCCTCTTCCTTTTGCCTTCCACTTTCCCCAGCATAATTGTCTTCTCTAGGCTTTGCTGTCTCCTCATGATGTGGCCAAAGTACTTCATCTTGGCCTCTACTATTCTTCCCTCCAATGAGCAGTCGGGCTTTATTTCCTGGAGGATGGACTGGTTGGATCTTCTCGCAGTCCAAGGCACTCTCAGAACTTTCCTCCAACACCACAGCTCAAAAGCATCGATCTTCCTTCGCTCAGCCTTCCCGAAGGTCCAGCTCTCACATCCGTAGGTGACTACAGGGAATACCATGGCTTTGACTAGGCAATGGATCTTTGTTGCCAGTCTGATGTCTCTACTCTTTACTATTTTATCGAGACTGGACATTGCTCTCCTCCCAAGAAGTAAGCGTCTTCTGATTTCCTGGCCACAGTCTGCATCTGCAGTATTCTTTGCACCTAGAAATACAAAGTCTGTCACGGCTTCCCCATTTTCTCCCTCTATTTTCCAGTTGTCAATCATTCTTGTTGCCATAATCTTGGTTTTTTTATGTTTAGCTGCAACCCAGCTTTTGCGCTTTCTTCTTTCACCTTGATTAGAAGGCTCCTCAGCTCCTCCTCGCTTTCGGCCATCAGAGTGGTGTCATCTGCATATCTGAGGTTGTTAATGTTTCTTCCAGCAATTTTCACCCCAGCCTTACATTCATCAAGCCCCGCACATCGCATGATGTGTTCTGCATACAAGTTAAAAGTTGGGTGAGAGTATGCATCCTTGCCGTACGCCTTTCCCAATCTTGAACCAGTCTGTTGTTTGGTCAGTTCTGACTGTTGCTACTTGGTCCTTGTACAGATTCCTCAGCAGAGAGACAAGGTGGCTTGGGATGCCCATCCCACTAAGAACTTGCCACAATTTATTATGATCCACACAGTCAAAGGCTTTAGAATAGTCAATGAAGCAGAAGTAGAGATGTTTTTCTGAAACTCCCTGCCTTTCTCCATTATCCAGCGGATATTGGCAATCTGGTCTCTCGTTCCTCCGCCTTTTCTAAACCCAGCTTGAACATCTGGCAACTCTCGCTCCATGTATTGCTGGAGTCTTCCTTGCAGGATCTTGAGCATTACCTTACTGGCATGAGAAATAAGGGCCACTGTACGGAAGTTTGAGCAGTCTTTCGCATTTCCCTTTTTTGGTATGGGGATATAAGTTGATTTTTTCCAGTCCGATGGCCATTCTTGTGTTTTCCATATTTGCTGGCAAATGGCATGCATCACCTTGACAGCATCATCTTTTAAGATTTTAAACAGTTCAGCTGGGATCCCGTCGTCTCCTGCTGCCTTGTTGTTAGCAATGCTTCTTAAGGCCCATTCAACCTCACTCCTCAGGATGTCTGGTTCTAATTCATTCACCACACCGTCATAACTATCCTCAATATTATTATCCTTCCTATACAGATCTTCTGTATATACAGACATAGACAGAGGCTATTTAACTTTTTCTGGCCGCCAGGGGAGCTGTCGCTTTCATCGTCCATCTGCGACGCTGATGAAGCACTTCCGCATTCCCCGCATGCTTCCCCGCTGGAATGCTTTGCTGGAGTCTTCTTTGTGGCCTCATAAATCAGTTAATTTAGCCTCCCCACACTTTAAGGTGGTACCTAATTTTCCTACTTGACAGATGCAACTGTCTTTCAGGTTGCAAAGGTCGACAACAGGCTACACAATTGGTTGGAAACCCACTCCAACCTGGGCTGGCTTCGAACTCATGACCTTTTTGGTCAGAGTGATCTTAAATCATAGAATCCAAGAGTTGGAAGAGACCTCATGGGCCATCCAGTCCAACCCCTTTCTGCCAAGAAGCAGGAATATTGCATTCAAATCACCCCTGACAGATGGCCATCCAGCCTCTGTTTAAAAGCTTCCAAAGAAGGAGCCTCCACCACACTCCGGGGCAGAGAGTTCCACTGCTGAACGGCTCTCACAGTCAGGAAGTTCTTCCTCATGTTCAGATGGAATCTCCTTTCTTGTAGTTTGAAGCCATTGTTCCGCATCCTAGTCTCCAGGGCAGCAGAAAACAAGCTTGCTCCCTCCTCCCTGTGGGTTCCTCTCACATATTTATACATGGCTATCATATCTCCTCTCAGCCTTCTCTTCTTCAGGCTAAACATGCCCAGCTCCTTAAGCCGCTCCTCATAGGGCTTGTTCTCCAGACTCTTGATCATTTTAGTCGCCCTCCTCTGGACACATTCCAGCTTGTCAATATCTCTCTTGAATTGTGGTGCCCAGAATTGGACACAATATTCCAGGTGTGGTCTAACCAAAGCAGAATAGAGGGGTAGCATTACTTCCTAGATCTAGACACTATGCTCCTATTGATGCAGGCCAAAATCCCATTGGCTTTTTTTGCCGCCACATCACATTGTTGGCTCATGTTTAACTTGTTGTCCACGAGGACTCCAAGATCTTTTTCACACGTATTGCTCTCGAGCCAGGCGTCCCCCATTCTGTATCTTTGCATTTCATTTTTTCTGCCAAAGTGGAGTATCTTGCATTTGTCACTGTTGAACTTCATTTTGTTAGTTTTGGCCCATCTCTCTAATCTGTCAAGATTTTTTTGAATCCTGCTCCTGTCCTCTGGAGTATTGCCTATCCTTCCCAATATCAGTTAATTTAGCCTCCCCACACTTTAAGGTGGTACCTATTTCCTACTTGACAGATGCAACTGTCTTTCAGGTTGCAAAGGTCGACAACAGGCTACACATAATTGGTTGGAAACCCACTCCAACCCAGGCTGGCTTCGAACTCGTGACCTTTTTGGTCAGAGTGATCTTAATTCAGCTGACACTCAGCCAGCTGCGAGCCAGCTGCGCCACAATCCCGGTCTTTCGATTGTTGTAATTCAAATCAATGGTCTTCACCTGGCCTAAATCTGTATTTCTTCCTTGACTTTGTTAGGTTTGACATTGACGATACCTCACCTAGCATGTCTGGCTGCTGCGGGGATGACTGCTCCTACGAAATCCTCAGCAGAAGAACGAAATTTGGCGAGAGCCAGCACACTCACCTGAGTAGTCACTGTGGTGGCTGCTGCCATTGAGTTTGCCCTTCACTCTGCAAAAGAACCTAACTCTTTTTTTCCCAGATGAGCCCTGCCTTTTGATTGCCACCCCCACAGTCTTCCCATTTCTTTGCTGTGCTCCCGAGCCATCCTAAATCTTGGGATGAGAGAGATCTTCCTCCATATGGGAGGTTCTGGAAACTGAACTCAAGCCTAACTTGAACCTGGTTTACCCATGGCCTTAACCTGAAGGTATGAATCCAGTCGGCTGTTTTCCTCCCCTGCAATAAGGAGATAGGTTCTTGCTTCAAGCAAATGACAAAAAGGAACTTAATGGTCGAAGAAGAATTAGCTTTTTTTGGTCAATGTTATTTGAAGTGGCCATTTTGGATATTTCACGTTTCTTCATCGACATTGAAAGTGTACTCTCTTTTTTGGTTTTGATGGATCGGTGAAATTTTTGAGACTGCAGGAATTCCCTGTTTGGCAAACTGTGTTTGGATCCCTATTTGGAAAGTTAAGAAGACCTTGTCCTGTTTGGATTTTACCTGTGCTTGCATGACAACCAGCTCTTTGTAAGTGTACTTTATATACTTTTCTAGGCCCACAATTTTAGTAAAGTGTTCATCATCCATAAGAACCCTACTCATTGTCATATCCAGGTGGGTGCTGATTCGGATTTATTATCTGTTGAATTGGGGTAGAATTTAGTAATCCCTAATTTTGTTTCCTTTTGGGTTCTTGCCATCTAAATCAATTACACTGTTCTACAAATTTTCAGTTTTTCTCACTTGCGGAAACGAAATGTGCCGTTTCTTAATAAATTTAACATGCTGAATTCAAATATAATAATTAAATGTGTTAATTGGCTCTGGTTTTATGCAACAGCTATTTCAATTTTCTCCACAATAGGTAATTCGTTAATATTATGATAATGCGCCTAACCTTACTGCATGTATATAAACCGTGAATATTTACTAAATTTTAGTCAAATTATATTGCCAATAGTTTATACATGAGAAATATTTATTTAATTAGTCTATTGTTTATGTTTGTGCAGCAAGAAACTATATTAGTAGGTCTAATGCAGTTGAAAAGTCTGAAAGTTTAAATGTCGCTTTAATCGTGACTTTAGTTTCTATCCTGTTTGCTTCTCTTGACTTTTCTTTTGTATTCAAGGAAAGGATTGTCTCTTACAATGCTCCAGCAGTAGTCTGACAGCATTGACGGAGTCCATTGGCCTTGATATCTTTTTTCCATAGTGCTTTATTTACACACGTGCGAGGCATAACTACAGTAAAAGAACAATGTAAAACGATGTTTAACCATACTGTCTCAGTCTTCAACTGACTGACCCTCACCGTTCAAAAGTCTGGCCTTATATAGGGCTTTCTGGCTTTTGCACATGGCACTAATACTGCATCATCAAACTTTCTAGAGTATTCTAGAATCTACCATAGTGTAAGTCGCAACATGCATTTTTTCAACCATAAATGATCACGTGATTGCTTATATCATAAAAACTAGAGCCAATATACATTTTTAAATGTCATTTTTGTTTTCAGCACCCCAAAATCATAAAAGAAAAACTATTTTCAAGCCCAAAACTTTTTCTCTGTTGAACAGTGTTAGTGGCAATGTATTGTCGAAGGCTTTCATGGCCGGAATCACTGGGTTGTTGTCGGTTTTTCCGGGCTATATGGCCATGTTCTAGAGGCATTTTCTCCTGACGTTTCGCCTGCATCTATGGCAAGCATCCTCAGAGGTAGTGAGGTCTGTTGGAACTAGGAAAATGGGTTTATATATCTGTGGAATGACCAGGGTGGGACAAAGAACTCTTGTCTGTTGGAGCTAGGTGGATCTGGACCAAGCTTTGCACAAATACTCAATATGCGCAAATGTGAACACTGGTGGAGTCTGGGGAAAATAGACTTTGACATTTGGGAGTTGTCGTTGCTGGGATTTATAGTTCACTACAATCAAAGAACATTCTGAACTCCACCAACGATAGAATTGGTTCAAACTTCCCACATGGAATCCCCATGACCATCAGAAAATACTGTGTTTTCTGATGGTCTTTGGCGACCCCTTTGACACCCCTTCACGACCCTCTCAGGGGTCCTGAGCCCCAGGTTGAGAAACACTGGTCTAAACAGGTTGAGAAACACTGGTCTACACTACTGTCAAAGGCCATACAGCCCGGAAAACTCACAGCAACCCAACGATTCTGGCCATGAGATCCTTTGACAACATATTTTCTAACGCCTTCGCTTTACAACTGCACCAAAGCTCCATGGTTTAGACAGGAGCAGATCCTTCCGGTGGAGGGAAGGATCTGCTCGTTGGTGGAGTTCAGAATGTTCTTTGATTGTAGTGAACTATAAATCCCAGCAACGACAACTCCCAAATGTCAAAGTCTATTTTCCCCAGACTCCACCAGTGTTCACATTTGCGCATATTGAGCATTTGTGCCAAGTTTGGTCCAGATCCACCTAGCTCCAACAGACAAGAGTCCTTTGCCCCACCCTGGTCATTCCACAGATATATAAACCCATTTTCCTAGTTTCAACAGACCTCATTACCTCTGACGATGCTTGCCATAGATGCAGGCAAAACATCAGGAGAGAATGGCTCTAGAACATGGCCATATAGCCCGAAAAAACCTACAACAACCCAGTGATTCTGGCCATGAAAGCCTTCGACAATACATTGCCACTAATTGATTCCGGTTTTTTTTTTTTTCATTTCCTGAGCTTCTGCCCTTCACTGAGCTTCTGCATTGTCTTCCTATTTCTTCAAGGTGTGTGACAGTGTGAGATTGTACTGACCTCCATTTGGGACCCATCAACCAGGTCTGGAACCTGTATTTATTACTTCTGTGGTCAGATAAGCTCTTTCTCTGTTGTTTCCACGTACAGAACTATCTCTCATCTGAACCTCCCAGGCCGGCTTATCTTTCTTGTCATTTCAGTGGGAGTAACATAACCAAACCAAAATGTCAGCTCAAGTGTTCATGACATTTCTACCTTTAAATGCCTTGAGTCATTTTTTTCCAAAAATCATGGCGCACATCTCGACAGAGTGACTTTTGCTTCTAAGAATTGGATCGGAACCACATGGGACAGATTTGAATTCATATGTGGGCAGATTCTAGTTACAAATACATTTTCCCTTTAGGATTTGAGGTTGTGAGGATTTTCTAAGGAAGTACATCTGCAGAGAAAGCTGGAATACGGATGACTACATTTTGGAGAATAGGGCCAGCTGACAGTAGTCATGTGCATTTGGGACTTACCTTGCTCCATTTCGTGTCCCAGCTTTCGGAGGGGACCACGATCCGTTTTCTTCTGAGCCTTCCAAAATTGGGACATCAGATTTTGTTTTTTGTTTTCAGGGCTGAAAGGTCTGTTTTCTTTCATCCATTGGGGGGGGGGGACGACGACGACGACGACTTCACCTATACATCCAATGTGCCTGGGCCTATGGGTGCAGGCTTTGGACTTATGCACCCAGGTCTGGCACGAAACAGAAAGGCCCCTCCTGGAACAAAAATGCTACCAAAACGAAAGACAGATGGGAGTGGGTACTGGCTCCAAGCCTGCCATTCGGATCGATTGCCTGGGGCCTGGCAGGGCCTTCAGGTGAGTGCCGTTTCCTGTCCCGGCTTTCGGAGGGGACCCCAATCTGTTTTCATCTGAGCATTCCAAAATTGGGACATCAGCTTTTGTTTTTTGTTTTCGGGGCTGAAAGATCTGTTTTCTTTCACCCGTTTGGGGTGGGGGGCGGACTTCACCTATACACCCAAAGTGCAAGGGGCCTACGGGTGCAGGTTTTGGGCCTACGGGTGCATGCTTTGGACCTACGCACCCAGGTCTGGCACGAAACAGAAAGGCCCTTCCTGGAACGAAAATGCTATCAAAACGAAAGACAGGCAGGAGTGGGTACCAGCTCCAAGCCTGCAATTTGGATCAATTGGCTGAGGCCTAGCAGGACCTACAGTTGAGTGCCAAGTAAGGAGTACTCCTTGCTCGGCTGCAGGCCCTGCCAGGACCAGGCGTGTAGGCCGAGAAGCCTGCACTTGTAAGCCCGGGCATTTTGGACCCATGGGTGCAGACTTTGGGACTACGCTCCCGAGCCCAACAAGACCTACAACCGAGTGCCAAGTAAGGAGCACTCCTTACTCTGCTGCAGGCCCTGCCAGACCCAGGTGTGTAGACCGAGAAGCCTGTACTTGTAAGCCTGGGCACTTTGGACCTACGGATGCAGTCTTTGGGACTATGCTCCCGAGCCCAGCAGGACCTACAGCCGAGTGCCAAGTAAGGAGCAGTCCTTACTTGGCTGCAGGCCCTGCCAGGCCCAGGCGTGTAGGCTGAGAAGCCTGCACTTGTAAGCCCGGGCACTTTGGACCCATGGGTGCAGGCTTTGGGACTACACTCCCGAGCCCAGCAGCACCTACAGCCGAGTGCCAAGTAAGGAGCACTCCTTACTCAGCTGCAGGCCCTGCCAGGCCCAGGCGTGTAGACCGAGAAGCCTGTACTTGTAAGCCTGGGCACTTTGGACCTACGGATGCAGTCTTTGGGACTATGCTCCCAAGCCCAGCACGACCTACATTTGAGTGCCAAGTAAGGAGCAGTCCTTACTCGGCTGCAGGCCCTGCCAGGCCCAGGCGTGTAGACCGAGAAGCCTGTACTTGTAAGCCTGGGCACTTTGGACCTACGGATGCAGTCTTTGGGACTATGCTCCCAAGCCCAGCACGACCTACATTTGAGTGCCAAGTAAGGAGCAGTCCTTACTCGGCTGCAGGCCCTGCCAGGCCCAGGCATGTAGGCTGAGAAGCCTACACTTGTAAGCCTGGGCACTTTGGATCTACGGGTGCAGGCTTTGGGACTACGCTTCCGAGCCCAGCATGACCTGCAGCCGAGTGCCAAGTAAGGAGCACTTCTTACTCGGTTGCAGGCCCTGCCAGGCCCAGGCATGTAGGCTGAGAAGCCTGTACTTGTAAGCCCGGGCACTTTGGGCCTACGGGTGTAGGCTTTGGGACTACGCTCCTGAGCCTAGCAGGACCTACAATTGAGTGTCAAGTAAGGAGCACTCTTTACTCAGCTGCAGGCCCTGCCAGGCCCAGATGTGTAGACCGAGAAGCCTGTACTTGTAAGCCCGGGCACTTTGGGCCTACGGGTGCAGTCTTTGGGACTACGCTCCCGAGCCTAGCAGGACCTACAGTTGAGTGCCAAGTAAGAAGCGCTCTTGCTCGGCTGCAGGCCCTGCCAGGCTCAGGCATGTAGGCTGAGAAGCCTATACTTGTAAGCCCGGGCACTTTGGACCTACAGATGCAGTCTTTGGGACTACGCTCCTGAGCCTAGCAGGACCTACAGTTGAGTGCCAAGTAAGAAGCGCTCTTGCTCGGCTGCAGGCCCTGCCAGGCTCAGGCATGTAGGCTGAGAAGCCTATACTTGTAAGCCCGGGCACTTTGGACCTACAGATGCAGTCTTTGGGACTACGCTCCTGAGCCTAGCAGGACCTACAGTTGAGTGCCAAGTAAGAAGCGCTCTTGCTCGGCTGCAGGCCCTGCCAGGCTCAGGCATGTAGGCTGAGAAGCCTATACTTGTAAGCCCGGGCACTTTGGACCTACAGATGCAGTCTTTGGGACTACGCTCCTGAGCCTAGCAGGACCTACAGTTGAGTGCCAAGTAAGAAGCGCTCTTGCTCGGCTGCAGGCCCTGCCAGGCTCAGGCATGTAGGCTGAGAAGCCTATACTTGTAAGCCTGGGCACTTTGGACCTACAGATGCAGTCTTTGGGACTACGCTCCTGAGCCTAGCAGGACCTACAGTTGAGTGTCAAGTAAGGAGCGCTCCTTGCTCGGCTGCAGGCCCTGCCAGGTCCAGGCGAGTAGACCGAGAAGCCTGCACTTGTATGCCCAAGCACTTTGTGCTTATGGGTGCAGGCTTTGGGACTACGCTCCTGAGCCTAGCAGGACCTACATTTGAGTGCCAAGTAAGGAGCGCTCCTTGCTCGGCTGCAAGCCCCGGCAGGCCCAGGCGTGTAGACCGAGAAGCCTGTACTTGTAAGCCTGGGCACTTTGGACCTATGGATGCAGTCTTTGGGACTATACTCCCGAGCCCAGCAGGACCTACAGCTGAGTGCCAAGTAAGGAGCAGTCCTTACTTGGCTGCAGGCCCTGCCAGGCCCAGACATGTAGGCTGAGAAGCCTGTACTTGTAAGCCCGGGCACTTTGGACCTACGGGTGCAGGCTTTGGGACTACGCTCCCGAGCCCAGCATGACCTACAGCCGAGTGCCAAGTAAGGAACACTTCTTACTCAGCTGCAGGCCCTGCCAGGCCCAGGCGTTTAGACCGAGAAGCCTGTACTTGTAAGCCTGGGCACTTTGGACCTACAGATGCAGTCTTTGGGACTACGCTCCTGAGCCTAGCATGACCTACAGTTGAGTGTCAAGTAAGGAGCGCTCCTTGCTCGATTGCAGGCCCTGCCAGGCTCAGGCGTGTAGGCCAAGAAGCCTGTACTTGTAAGCCCGGGCACTTTGGACCTACGGGTGCAGGCTTTGGGACTACGCTCCCGAGCCTAGCAGGACTTACAGCTAAGTGCTAAGTAAGGAGCACTCCTTACTCGGTGCTCAGCTGCATGCCCTGCCAGGCCCCAGGCAATTAATCCGAAAAGCAGGCTTGGAGCCGGTACCCGCTCCCACCTGTCTTTCGTTTCAATTGCATTTTTGTTCCTTTCCGTTTCCTGCCATCCGAATGTATGAAACAAAATGGAAACATGAATCAAACTAATTGTCACATTTTGGGCCCATGACTAGTTGACAGTGATGTGCGAAAGTTTGTCCCTTGGGAAGTAAAAAACCCACAGGTTGCTTTTGTCAGTGCTGTAGAAATCCTTGGAGTGCAACTGTGAGAGAGCACATTCTGGACTATTTTCATCTAGCGTCACCGGACTGTCCCATCGGTTATATCCTGCTTCAAAGCCCAAAGTATAGGAACAAATGGATTCTGTGTATAACATGTATTGCCAAGTCATTTTTTATTTCTAATGTATCATTGGATTTTTCTGGTAAAATGTATTTTTTTAAATGTGTGTATGTTTTTTTTTTGTTTTTTTTTTTTTTTGGTATTTTGAAATGCTAGGTATGGTCTCTGAAATTTCAGATTGGACACTTTTGGACAGCGGCTAAACCAATATCTTTCTTGGTGTATGTTGCCCATAATACATTTCGTTTAATATGGCATATTGCTTTAGCAACCTTTGCACTTCCATTTCGTGTTCATGTGAATGGATCTTTTCCCTCAAAGAAACGAAAAATGTGAGTGTCAAGGAACGATGGCGGAACCTGTCTACTTCAAATATTTATTTTCCCTCTCCTGGTCTCCAAATCGGGCATGCTTAATAATGGATGTTTTAAGTTAATTTACAGTGTCTACTTCTGTGTATTAGCGTATTTTTTTTTCTTCTTCCTTGGTTACCCTATTTGGATTTTTTTTTTCATTTTTTTAGAATACCTTTTAAAATAATTACTTTTCTTAGCAAGTATTTTCACTGGAATAAAAGGGAACAACTTGACTTTTTAAACAATATTTGTTTTATTTGTATGGTCAAAAATAAACTTTTTGTTCAGTCTTTATCAGGTGGAGTGTATGTGTGTTTGTTAAGTATAGTTGTGTAGAGTTTCTTTGACCCAGTTTTGGGGTGTTGCAGAGGCGACCCTAGGTAATTTTCAACGGTAAGCAAACAGTATTTTGGTGCCCCCCCCCCCCAACCAATCATTGATATATATTTTCTGTTCGACGTGGGAGTTCAGAATGCTCTTTGATTGTAGGTGAACTATACATCCCAGTAACTACACTGGCCCGCTTTGGGTCCGGAGGCGTGCCTGAAGACCCCGGTGTGTGCACCAAAAGTCACCTCTTCTCCTGACTTTCTCCTCAGCCATTGGGACCAAGAGAGAGAGAGAGAGAGACAGAGGTGGAGATGCCCACCTTTCCTGAAGGTAGGCGCAAAAACAAAGGAGGGAGCGGAGGTGGGAGATACCTCCAGCCGGAGGGGCTCTCTCTCTCTCTCTCTCTCTCTCTCGTGGTCCCAATGGCTGAAGAGGAAGTCAGGAGAAGAGGCGACTTTTGGTGCGCACGCTGGGGTCTTCAGACATGCCTCCAGTGGCGGCTCCGCCCCTTGGCCCACCCGCGGATTGGGGAGAGGAGAGGAAGCGGGTGGAGCGCCGGGGATCGGGAAAGGAAGCCGGTCATGGGGAAGGGATCGAACGCGGAGAAAGATTGAGTGCCGGCTCTGCTCGCGCACCCGATCGCCGGGTGGAGCAGGAACGAGAGGGGCTAGGTGAGGCTCAAGGGCCCGGCCCCTTTGGGAAGAGGATCGCCCGGCAACGAGGCAAGAAAGCCAAGGCTCCCCCCGGACTGCTAGGGCTGTTGTGAGCGGAGGGGGCACTCCTCAAGTGGTGGTCGAGGGGCATTTACAGAGGTGCCTCTGCGCCCCTGGCAAAAAAAAAAGTGTTCTGCGACCGCTTACTTCACGTAATGGACGAGCCGCCCCTGGGGTGTTGGAAGTAACTTGAGCTTATATATCAAAAACAAGGCATGGCAGAGTAATCTGATCTCTTTTTTCGATAGAGTTACAAACTGGGTAGATGCAGGAAATGCCGTGGATGGAGCACATCTGGATTTGAGTAAGGCCTTCAAAAAGATTCCCAATGACCTTCTGGCAAGGAAACTAGTCCAATTTGGGCAAGGCAAAAGTATGGTTAGCTGGATCTCAAATTGGTTAAGCGAATAAAGCCAATGGGTGATTCTCCCCAATGCTTCCTCTTAATCCTGGAAAGAAGTGACAAGTGGAGTGCCATCAGCCTGGTTCTGTCCTGGGAATGGTCATGTTCAGGATCTTTATTCATGATTTAGAGCAGTGGTTCTCAACCTTTCTAATGCGGTGATCCCCAAATAAAGTCCCTCGTGTTGTGGTGACCCCCAACCATATTTTCGTTGCTACTTCATAAATCATAGAATCAAAGAGTTGGAAGAGACCTCATGGGCCATCCAGTCCAACCCCCTGCCAAGAAGCAGGAATATTGCATTCAAATCACCCCTGACAGATGGCCGTCCAGCCTCTGTTTAAAAGCTTCTAAAGAAGGAGCCTCCACCACACTCCGGGGCAGTGAGTTCCACTGCTGAACGGCTCTCACAGTCAGGAATTTTGCTACTCTTATGAATTTTAATGCAGATATCTAATATGCAGGATGCATTTTCATTGTTACAAATTGAACATAATTAAAGCATAGTGACTAATCACAATATGTTTGGGGGAGTATGGACAACGGATGAATGGGATTTGCAGTACCTTCAACCAATTCAGCTCTGATTTCCACGGACCACTGAGATCCCCCACAAATTACAGACCTGGACCAAACTTGAAACACAGAACTCCCATGACCAGCAGAAATTACTGGAGGAGTTTTGGAGGAATTGACAGTAATTTATGGGAGATGTAGTTCACCTACATCCAGAAAGCACTGAGAACCCAAATGACTATGGATCTGGACCAAACTTGGCATGAATACTCAATATGCCCAGATTTGAACAATGGTGGAGTTTGGGGGAAATTGATCTTTATATTTGGGAGTTGCAGTTGCTGGGATTTATAGTTTCTCTGCCATCAGAGAGCATTCTGAACTCCAACAAAAATGGAATTGAAGAAGCTTGGCATACAGAACTCCCATAACCAACAGAAATTACTGGAGAGTTTTGGGGTTATTTTCCTGACACTTGGGAGGTGCTGGGATATATAGTTCCCTCCCATCCAAAAGCATTCTGAACTCATGCAACCATGGAATGCACTCACACTTGGCACAGAGAACTCCCTCCGCCCGTCCCTCACCCCCTTCTGAGCCAAGGCAGATTCGCGACCCCCTGAAAATGGCTGAACGACCCCCTTTTGGGTCGCAACCCCCAGATTGAGAACCGCTGATTTAGAGGAAAGGTTAGAAGGCAAGATCATCAAGTTTGTGGACAACACCAAATTGGGAGGGAGAGCCAATACTCCAGAAGGCAGGAGCAGAATTCAAAACTATTTTAACAGATTAGAGAGATGATGGGCCAAAAGTCACACAATGAAGTTCAACAGGGACAAATGCAAGATACTCCACTTAGGCAGAAAAAACGAAAGGCAAAGATACAGAATGGGAGATGATGTCTGGATCGACAGAAAAATATTTTTGAGTCCTCGTGGACAGGAAGGGGAACATGAGCCAACAATGTCATGCGGTGGCAAAACAAAACAAAAAGCTTTTTAGCAGTCATAAATAGGAGTCTAGTGTCTAGATCAGGGGTCCTCAAACTTTTTTAAACAGAGGGCCAGGTCACTCCAACAAACTGTTGGAGGGCCGAATCATAATTTGAAAAAAAAGATGAATGAATTCGCCGATATTGTACCACCTGACATCCGCCGGGAAGTAGCAGCCAATAGTGAAACGACCAAGGCAGTGACATCTCCAGCTCATCCCTTGTTTGGGTATCAGCCAGCACGTCAACGACTTAAATTAAGAAATAGTTTTCTAAGATCTACAGAGACACTCGCTGGAACACCTCAGCAAGCGAGAGTCCAAAAGTGGCAGGCTCAAACCCAGAACCTCAACCAATGGCTGATACTAAATGAGAGACTCCCCCCTGGGCACACAGAAAACTGTGAATTGGAAGGCGCTGAACAGACTGCGCTCTGGCACCACGAGATGCAGAGCCAACCTTAAGAAATGGGGCCACAAAGTGGAATCCACGACATGCGAGTGTGGAGAAGAGCAAACTACTGACCACCTGCTGCAATGCAACCTGAGCACTGCTACACACACAATGGAGGACCTTCTTGCGGCAACACCAGAGGCACTCCAAGTGGCCAGATACTGGTCAAAGGACATTTAATCAACCAACTACCAAGCTTGCAAACTTTGTGTTTTGTCTTTTTGTTTGTTTGTTTGTTTTGTTAAAAATGCAATACAACTGTCTGCTTCCTCCTGACACAATAAATAAATAAATACATTGGCCCGATAAGTGTATTGTGTCCAAATTTAGTGACAATTCGCCCAGTGGTTTTTGAGTTATGTTTAATCCCACAAACGAACATTACATTTTTATTTATATAGATTATTATTTATTTCAGATATATGTACCCTGCCCTTCTCGACCCCCGAAGGGGGGGCTCAGGACGGCTTACAGCTGATATTTACTTTTGGAAAACACAGGTACTTGAGCATCATCTCCATTGGAAGAAGCACAACCGTGCAAGTAGGTTCCTGAGTGTAGAGAAGTGTTCATTATACTGTGTTTCAAACTGTGTTTAGGCTTTACATTGTGGCCAGGGCCTAGCTGAGAGAGAGATAGGTTGCCATGGTGACAAGCCAGAGGAGGTGGGCGGAGCTTAGGTAAAAAAGGTTTGAAAGCGACAGTTTATTTTCAGTCAGGCGGATGAGACCCTGAGGAGAGTAGCAGAGTCAAGGAGGCTCTGTGGAGTAGTGTAAATTCAGTTAGTTCTTAGGTTTTGTGAATATTATTCCAGCTAGGAAGCTGAAGGTAGAAACTCGTTAGATTGCTTGAGTAGAAAAGAATCTAACAAGAAAGGGTTTCAGGGATCCCAGTGGTGAAAATCTGGAGATCGTTGGTTTGATCCGGTGAAGGACAAACAGTTGTAAATATTCACAATAGGGAACACTGAAATAATAAAGTACCTCACTGTAGAAAGAGTTAAAGGATTGTAACATCGGAAGACTTAATGTAACTCAACCAAGCCATTTTGTATCCATCAAGCTTGTGCCAAGTTCAACAGTTTAATTTTGCAACAATTTACGCTCTGATAACAATAAACCTGTTCTTTTTGTGTTTTAAACTTGCTTCCTTCACTGATTTCCACGTTTGAAGCATTCCACACTACCCAAGGTGCCTCACAACACAGATAAGGATAACCAGAGATCATTTTTACCAATATCACTTATATTATGGTGGCAATTTAAGCTAGAAGTCTCAAATCTTTATTACATCTGTGTGGTGATCCTATTTATTTGGGATTTTACACCATTATTTCATTTTGGAGACTTCCTCACATATTTTGGTGGCAGCAAGTGAACGGTTTTAAATTTTTAGTAACAAGCGGTGGGAGACACGGCTTCGCACTGAGAAACTGATGTGCCTTCAGAAACTTCATTATTTTCCATGGCTTTGGGATAGTGATGTAGTGGGAAAAAAAGGCCTTATATTTATAGCAATTCAGCAAAACCTTTACTAGGTCTTATTTTCAGGGGGTGTCTCATTTTCGGGGAAACGGTGTCGTTGGGCCACGAAAGGAGTAGCAGAACATTGGGGAAGTGCGATGGCATGGAGACCTTTAGAAACATTTCCTGTGGACGATAGATGGCCCGGCTTCGTCATACTCTTGCTTGCTGATCCACATTTGCTGGAAGGTGGAGAGGGAAGCCAAGATGGAGCCCCCGATCCACACCGAGTACTTCCGCTCAGGAGGAGCGATGATCTGAAGCAGGGAAGAAGTTTCCAAAGTTTTGTTTAAAAAAGAAGAAATCAGTTTAGCAATCTTGTTATTGGGTTGCTGTGAGTTTTCTGGACTGTCTGGTGATGTTCCAGAAGCATTCTCTCTGGACGTTTCCTCCACATCTATGGAAGGCATCCTCAGAGGTTGAGAGATCTGTTGGAAACTAGGAAAGTGGGGTTTATATATCTGTTGAAGCCCCATTTTCCTGGTTTCAAACAGACCTCACACCCTCTGAGGATCCCTGCTATTGATGCGTTAGGTTCTTGTGGGTTTTTTTCGGGCTATAGGGCCATGTTCTAGAGCAGTGTTTCTCAACCTTCCTAATGCCGTGACCCCTTAATGCTGGGGTGACCCCCAACCATAACGTTATTTTCGTTGCTTCTTCAGAACTGTAATTTTTCTCCTGTTATTAATGTAAATATCATGTAAATATCTGATGTGCAGGATATATTTTCATTCACTGGACCAAATTTGGCACAAATACCCAATGCACCCACATTTGAATACTGGTAGAGCTGTGAGAGGGGGCTATTGATTTTGTCATTTGGGATTTATAGTTCACCTACAATCAAAGAGCATTTTGAACTCCACCAACAATGGAATTGAACCAATCTTGGCACACAAAATTCCCATGACCAACAGAAAATACTGGAAGGGTTTGGTGGGCATTGACCTTGAGTTTTGGAGTTGTAGTTCACCTGCATCCAGAGAGCACTGTGGACTCAAACCATGATGGATCTGGACCAAACTTGGCACAAATACTCAATATACCCAAATGTGAACACCAGTAGAGTTTGGGGAAAATTGACCTTGATATTTGGGAGTTGTAGTTACTGGGATTTATAGTTCGCCTACAACCAAAGAGCATTCTGAACCCCACCAACGACAATTGGGCCAAACTTCCAACACAGAACCCCCATGACCAACAGAAAATACTGTGTATTGTCGAAGGCTTTCATGGCTGGAATCACTGGGTTGTTGTAGGTTTTTTTGGGCTATATGGCCATGGTCTAGAGGCATTCTCTCCTGACGTTTCTCCTGCATCTATGGCAAGCATCCTCAGAGGTAGTAAGGTAGTGAGAAAATACTGTGTTTTCTGATTGTTTTTGGCGACCCCTCTGACGCCCACTTGTGACCCCCCCCACCCAGGGGTCTCGATCCCCAGGTTGAGAAACACTGTTCTAGAGGCATTTCTCCTGACGTTTTGCCTGCATTTCGCTGGCAAGCATCCTCAGAGGTAGTGAGGTCTGTTGGAAATAGGACAATGGGTTTATATATCTGTGGAATGGCTGGGGTGGGGCAAAGAGCTCTTCTCTGCTGGAGCTAGGTGTGAATGTTTCAACTGACCACCTTCATTAGCATTTGAAGGCCTGGCTGAGCCTGGGAAAATCTTTTGTTGAGAGGTGTTAAGATGTGCCTGGTCGTTTCCTCTCTGCTGTTTTGCTGTTGTAATTTTAGAGTTTTTTAATACTGGTAGCCAGATTTTGTTCATTTTCATGGTCTCTTCCTTTCTGTTGAAATTGTCCACATGCTTGTGGATTTCAATGGCTTCTCTGTGTAGTCTGACATGGTGGTTGTTGGTGTGGTCCAGCATTTGAAACATTCAGTTGAAACATTCACACCTAGCTCCAGCAGAGAAGAGCTCTTTGCCACACCCCAGCCATTCCACAGATATATAAACCCATTGTCCTAATTCCAACAGACCTCACTACCTCTGAGGATGCTTGCCATAGATGCAGGCGAAACGTCAGGAGAAATGCCTCTAGAACATGGCCCTATAGCCCGAAAAAAACCCACTAGAACCTAGTGATTCCAGCCATGAAAGCCTTCGACAATACATTGATGCATTGCTGGGGGAATCCTTTGTTGGGAGGTGATTAGCTGGCCCTGATTGTTTCTTGTCTGCCATTAAATGCTAATCAAGGTGGCCAACTGCAACACTCACACCTACCTCAAACAGGCAAGAGTTCTTTCTCCCACACTGGACACTCCACAGACATATCAACCCTACTTGCCTAGTTTCCACCACACCTCACAACCTCTGAGGTTGCCTGCCATAGATGCCGGCAAAACGAAAGTTGCATTATTCTGCAGAATGGGGTTGGACTGGATGGCCCACGAGGTCTCTTCCAACTCTGTGATTCTATGGTCTGTGTCTCTAAACGAGTCTTGCTTTTTAAAACGGGCAACTTTATTGAAAAGTCAGTTCAAAGCCCGGGTCAGGGTGAGCACACGACTTTTAATCCAGCTTACTGTCCACCTAAGCAGTTTGAAAACAGCTATGAGTAGAGAAATTAGGTACAGGGAGGTATTTTACGGCATCATAAAGGAAATACCAAAAAAATGCCAGCGATGAAAAGAAGGAGGAAGTCTGTGATTAAGGCTCATTTTCGTAGAGGATGAAGCAACAGCACCCTCTTTGGCCGGAATTGAGCACAACCTCCAGGACACCGAAATTGGGGGAAATGCTGATGTGTACGTCTATCTGTTGTCTGTCCTGTCTGTTTGCTGTGTATATGTTCTATGATCCGCCCTGAGTCTCCTTTAGGGTGAGAAGGGCGGAATATAAATGCTGTAAATAAATAAATAAAATATAGACAACGAAATGCAATCATTGCCAGGACTAAAGTTTTGCCACAAGATGGCAAAACTTTAAGGCTTTGTATTTTGAAATCTTTGCATTGAGTGACAACTACCTTTGTTACATGTGTCGAAATTAATCTTGCTGCTTTTTTTATTGTGTAAACCAACTTGAGAACATACTGCAAGTTGGGTTGTTGTAGGTTTTTTGGGTTATATGGCCATGTTCTAGAAGCATTCTCTCCTGATGTTTCGCCTGCATCCATGGCAAGCATCCTCTGAGGATTGTTGTAGGTTTGTTGTAGGTTTTTGGGGCTATATGGCCATGTTCTAGAAGCATTCTCTCCTGACGTTTCGCCTGCATCTATGGCAAGCACCCTCTGAGGATTGTTGTAGGTTTGTTGTAGGTTTTTCAGGCTATATGGCCATGTTCTAGAAGCATTCTCTCCTGACGTTTCGCCTGCATCTATGGCAAGCACCCTCTGAGGATTGTTGTAGGTTTGTTGTAGGTTTTTCAGGCTATATGGCCATGTTCTAGAAGCATTCTCTCCTGACATTTCGCCTGCATCTATGGCAAGCATCCTCTGAGGATTGTTGTAGATTTGTTGTAGGTTTTTGGGGTTATATAGCCATGTTCTAGAAGCATTCTCTCCTGACGTTTCACCTGCATCTATGGCAAGCATCCTCTGAGGATTGTTGTAGGTTTGTTGTAGGTTTTTGGGGCTATATGGCCATGTTCTAGAAGCATTCTCTCCTGACGTTTCGCCTGCATCTATGGCAAGCATCCTCTGAGGATTGTTGTAGGTTTGTTATAGGTTTTTCGGGCTATATGGCCATGGTCTAGGAGTATTCTCTCCTGACGTTTCACCTGCATCTATGGCAATCATCCTCTGAGGATTGTTGTAGGTTTGTTATAGGTTTTTCGGGCTATATGGCCATGTTCTAGAAGCATTCTCTCCTGACATTTCACCTGCATCTATGGCAAGCATCCTCTGAGGATTGTTGTAGGTTTGTTGTAGGTTTTTCGGGCTATATGGCCATGTTCTAGAAGCATTCTCTCCTGATGTTTCGCCTGCATCTATGGCAAGCATCCTCTGAGGATTGTAGGTTTGTTGTAGGGTTTTCAGGCTATATGGCCATGTTCTAGAAGCATTCTCTCCTGACGTTTCACCTGCATCTATGGCAAGCATCCTCTGAGGATTGTTGTAGGTTTGTTGTAGGCTTTTCGGGCTATATGGCCATGTTCTAGAAGCATTCTCTCCTGACGTTTTGCCTGCATCTATGGCAAGCATCCTCTGAGGATTGTTGTAGGTTTTGGGGACTATATGGCCATGTTCTAGAAGCATTCTCTCCTGATGTTTCACCTGCATCTATGGCAAGCATCCTCTGATGATTGTTGTAGGTTTGTTGTAGGTTTTTCAGGCTATATGGCCATATTCTAGAAGCATTCTCTCCTGACGTTTTGCCTGCATCTCATGGCCAGAATCACTGGGTTGTTGTAGGTTTTTCCAGGCTATATGGCCATGTTCTAGAGGCATTTCTCCTGACGTTTCGCCTGCATCTATGGCAAGGCTTTCATGGCCAGAATCACTGGGTTGTTGTAGGTTTTTGGGGGGGGCTATATGGCCATGTTCTAGAGGCATTTTCTCCTGACGTTTCGCCTGCATCTATGGCAAGCATCCTCTGAGGATGCTTTGTTTTTCGGGCTATATGGCCATGTTCTAGAAGCATTCTCTCCTGACGTTTCGCCTGCATCCATGGCAAGCATCCTCTGAGGATTGTTGTAGGTTTGTTGTAGGTTTTTGGGGCTATCTGGCCATGTTCTAGAAGCATTATCTCCTGACGTTTCACCTGCATCTATGGCAAGCATCCTCTGAGGATTGTTGTAGGTTTGTTGTAGGCTTTTCGGGCTATATGGCCATGTTCTAGAAGCATTCTCTCCTGACGTTTTGCCTGCATCTATGGCAAGCATCCTCTGAGGATTGTTGTAGGTTTTGGGGACTATATGGCCATGTTCTAGAAGCATTCTCTCCTGATGTTTCACCTGCATCTATGGCAAGCATCCTCTGATGATTGTTGTAGGTTTGTTGTAGGTTTTTGGGGCTATATGGCCATATTCTAGAAGCATTCTCTCCTGACGTTTTGCCTGCATCCATGGCAAGCATCCTCTGAGGATTGTTGTAGGTTTGTTGTAGGTTTTTGGGGCTATATGGCCATGTTCTAGAAACATTCTCTCCTGACGTTTCGCCTGCATCTATGGCAAGCATCCTCAGAGTTGCAGGTGAAATGTCATGAGAGAATGCTTCTAGAACATGGCCATATAGCCTGAAAAACCTACAACAAACCTACAACTTTAATTCCATTTGGCCCAGCCATAGATTTTAAATGTGTTTTGTGCTATTGTTCAATGTTTATGCTATTTATGTATGAGTTTTATTTTTAATTGCTTTGTAGTAGTATTTGTATTTTGCTTTGTATTGTGGTTGTTACTGCATGTATTGATGTATTGTGGGCTTGGCCTCATGTAAGCCGCACCGAGTCCCTTGGGAGATGGTAGCGGGGTATAAATAAAGTTTTATTATTATTATATAGCCCGAAAAACCTACAACAACCCAGTGATTCCAGCCATGAAAGCCTTTGACAATATACTGCAAGTTGCTTCTGGCGTGAGATAATTGGTCATCTACAGAGATGTCGACCAGGGGATGTCCATATGTGTTACCATCCTGCTGGGAGGCTTCTCTCATGTCCCTGCAAGCTAGAGCTGTCAGATGGGAGCTCACCCTGTCTCAAACTCGCACCAGGAACCTTCAGGTTAGCAACCCAACCTTCAGGTCAACATTGCACCACCACGTCTCTGAAATCTTACTGCTTTGGAACCTGAAGCAGAGGGCATGTGAGAGGGAAACAGTTTCGGTTTCCTACCAAAGTTTTCTGGTACTATACACTGTACACAGATTGTGCCCCATTCCCAGAGGTAAATTCTGGTACAACTTAACAGAGGGCCCATCCAGACAGGCCTTTTATCCCAGATTTTCTGCTTTAAACTGGATTATATGAGTCCACACTGCCAGATAATCTGGGATAAACGGAAAAGCTTGGATCAGATCCTGGGCCTGTCTGGAAGGGCCCTGAGAAGGCTAGGAGTTACTGTTACACCATCTCACCTTGATTTTCATAGTGCTGGGAGCCAAAGCTGTAATTTCCTTCTGCATCCGGTCAGCAATCCCAGGGTACATGGTGGTGCCCCCAGAGAGGACGTTGTTGGCGTAGAGGTCCTTCCGGATGTCAATGTCGCACTTCATGATGGAGTTATAAGTGGTTTCATGGATACCTGCAGACTCCATTCCTAGAAGGACGGTAAGAATGTGAAATTACTGAGAAGCAAAATCAAGTAGTGAAGGGTGACACTGAAGGAGGATGTCTCAGAGACAATAACAGTAGTACCATAGCTCAAAGCTTAATCTGTGCATTGGACCCCAAATGAATCATAGAGTTGGAAGAGACCTCATGGGCCATCCAGTCCAACCCCATTCTGCCAAGAAGCAGGAAAATTGCATTCAAAGCATCCCCAACAGATGGCCATCCAGCCTCTGTTTAAAAGCTTCCAAAGAAGAAGCCTCCACCACACTCCAGCAGAGAGTTCCACTGCTGAACGGCTCTCACAGTCAGGAAGTTCTTCCTCATGTTCAGATGGAATCTCCTCTCTTGTAGTTTGAAGCCATTGTTCCGCATCCTAGTCTCCAGGGAAGCAGAAAACAAGCTTGCTCCCTCCTCCCTGTGGCTTCCTCTCACATATTTATACATGGCTATCATATCCCCTCTCAGCCTTCTCTTCTTCAGGCTAAACATGCCCAGCTCCTTAAGCCGCTCCTCATAGGGCTTGTTCTCCAGACCTTTTATCATTTTAGTCGCTCTCCTCTGGACACATTCCAGCTTGTCAATATCTCTCTTGAATTTTGGTGCCCAGAATTGTGTGGTCTAACCAAAGGCAGAACAGGGGGGAGCATGACTTCCCTAGATCTAGACACTATGCTCCTCTTGATGCAGGCCAAAATCCCATTGGCTTTTTTTGCCGCCACATCACATTGTTGGCTCATGTTTAACTTGTTGTCCACGAGGACTTCAATACCTTTTTCACACGTACTACTCTCAAACCAGGCGTCTTCCCCATTCTGTATCTGCATTTCACTTTTTCTGCCAAAGTGGAGTCTCTTGCATTTGTCACTGTTGAACATCATTTTGTTAGTTTTGGCCAATCATTTCTCTAATCTGTCAAGATCGTTTTGAATTCTGCTCCTGTCCTCTGGAGTATTGGCTCTCCCTCCCAATTTGGTGTCGTCTGCAAACTTGATGATCCTGCCTTCTAGCCCTTCATCTAAGTCATTAATAAAGATGTTGAACAGGACCGGGCCCAGGACAGAACCCTGCGGCACTCCACTTGTCACTTCTTTCCAGGATGAAGAGGAAGCATTGGGGAGAATCACCCTTTGGGTTCGTCCATTTAACCAATTACAGATCCACCTCACCGTAGTTTTGCCCACATTGGACTAGTTTGTTTGCCAGAAGATCATGGGGCTAACGGTGTAGAAATGGTGGGGCCGCAGACCATATTTTCATTCTTGTGAACCACTGGTGGTCTACAGACCACAGGTTGGGAACAACTGCTTTAGAAAGAGTGGGGACAGAATGGGGGACAATGCCTGGCTCAAGAGCAGTACGTGTGAAAAAGATCTTGAGGTTCTTGTGGACAACAAGTTAAACATGAGCCAACAATGTGATGTGCCAGCAAAAAAAGCCAATGTGATTTTGGCCTGCATCAAGAGGAGCCTAGTGTCTAGATCTAGGGAAGTCATGCTTCCCATGCTCTATTCTGCCTTGGTTAGACCACACTTTGAATGCTGTGTCCAATTCTGGGCACCACAATTGAAGAGAGATATTGACAAGTTGGAGAACAAGGGTAAGGGTCTGGAGAACAATTCAAGAGCTGGAATGTGTCCAGAGGAGGGCGACTAAAATGATCAAGAGTCTGGAGAACAAGACCTATGAGGAGCGGCTTAAAGAGCTGGGCATGTTTAGCCTACAGAAGAGAAGGCGGAGAGGAGACATGATGAGGGCCATGTATAAATATGTGAGATGAAGTCATAGGGAGGAAGGAGCGAACTTGTTTTCTGCTAACCTGGAGACTAGGATGCGGAACAATGGCTTCAAACTATAAGAAAGGAGATTCCGTCTGAATATGAGGAAGAACTTCCTGACTGTGAGAGCATAGTGTCTAGATCTAGAGAAGTAATGCTCCCCATGCTCTATTCCGCTTTGGTTAGACCACACCTGGAATATTGTGTTCAATTCTGGGCACCACAATTCAAGAGCTGGAATGTGTCCAGAGGAGGGCGACTAAAATGATCAAGGGTCTGGAGAACAAGCCCTATGAGGAGCGGCTTAAGGAGCTGGGCATGTTTAGCCTGAAGAAGAGAAGGTGGAGGGGAGACATGATGAGGGCCATGTATAAATATGTGAGATGAAGTCATAGGGAGAAAGGAGCGAACTTGTTTTCTGCTGCCCTGGGAACTAGGACATGGAATAATGGCTGCAAACTACAAGAAAGGAGATTCCACCTGAACATAAGGAAGAACTTCCTGACTGTCAGAGCTGTTCAGCAGTGGAACTCTCTGCCCCGGAGTGTGGTAGAGGCTCCTTCTTTGGAAGCTTTTAAACAGAGGCTGGATGGCTATCTGTCAGGGGTGATTGGAATGCAATATTCCTGCTCCTTGGCAGAATGGGGTTGGACTGGATGGCCCATGAGGTCTCTTCCAACTCTTTGATTCTATGATTCTACTGTGTTGCGAAATGTATGACAGCAACATGGAAGATTTGGAAAGCACTGATTTACGTCTTCTATCATGTTGCTGCCTAACCAGCATTCTGTCCAATTTTGGCATGCACCAGAATCTTAGTCAAACTGTATTCCCTTTTCAGTAGCATTCATACAACTCCTTGAAGCAGGTAATGCTTTGACCAAATGTAAATGGAGCTTGGAGAAAGAAAGATTGCAAGAGTGGGGTGCCTCGGACTAGCACATCTTTGCCAAGAGTAAAAGTCAAAGGATTTGGTGATGGCGTTGTGTTACAACAGCTGCTATGAGGTGGTCGAGCTTCCCCCACTATTCAGGAGAAGCCATCCTTCCACTATTTTGGAATTTGCAGCCTCCTTGTCTATATTGGGTAAGAAAAAAGAGAGAGAGATCATCTGTCACCACCCACTGTCAAAGCCTCGGGCCTGGCTCATCACAGAAGATGGATCCGATTCCCTTCGAGTCCCAGCTGGTATCATCAAAACTCCCACTCTGGTTGGTTTCTCAACAAATCCTGGTGTGTGTCAATTACGGTTTAGCCCTTCAATGCAAACTTGTGACATTCTCGGCAGTCTTCAAGAAGCATGTTGACCTTTTAGGCCTTTGACATGTCCTACAAACACACACACATACACACCTTCCTTATGACCACATCCATTTAGTGGACAATTCCAGTATATGACAAAGTGTTGTCTTGTTTCATAGAATCAAAGAGTTGGAAGAGACCTCATGGGCCATCCAGTCCAACCCCATTCTGCCAAGAAGCAGGAATATTGCATTCAAATCACCCCTGACAGATGGCCATCCAGTCTCTGTTTAAAAGCCTCCAAAGAAGGAGCCTCCACCACACTCCGGGGCAGAGAGTTCCACTGCTGAACGCTCTCACAGTCAGGAAGTTCTTCCTAATGTTATGGAATCTCCTTTCTTGTAGTTTGAAGCCATTGTTTCGCATCCTAGTCTCCAAGAAAGCACAAAACAAGCTTGCTCCCTCCTCCCTGTGGCTTCCTCTCACATATTTATACACGGCTATCATATCTCCTCTCAGCCTTCTCTTCTTCAGGCTAAACATGCCCAGCTCCTTAAGCCGCTCCTCATAGGGCTTGTTCTCCAGACCCTTGATCATTTTAGTCGCCCTCCTCTGGACACATTCCAGCTTGTCAATATCTCTCTTGAATTGTGGTGCCCAGAATTGGACACAATATTCCAGGTGTGGTCTAACCAAAGCAGAGATAGAGGGGTAGCATGACTTCCCTAGATCTAGACACTATGCTCCTATTGATGCAGGCCAAAATCCCATTGGCTTTTTTTGCCACCACATCACATTGTTGGCTCATGTTTAACTTGTTGTCCATGAGGACTCCAAGATCTTTTTCACACGTACTGCTCTCGAGCCAGGCCTCCATTCTGTATCTTTGCATTCCTGTGCTATGCTAATAATATAATATAATATAATATAATATAATATAATATAATATAATATAATATATACTAGCTGTCCCCTGCCAAGCGTTGCTGGGGCCCAGTCTGTGCATATGAGTTTTGTGTGTATATATATTTGTGTAAAGGTAAAGGTAGTCCCCTGACATTAAGTCCAGTCATGTCTGACTCTGGGGTGTGGTGCTCATCTCCATTTCTAAGCCGAAGAGCTGGCGTTGTCTGTAGACACCTCCAAGGTCATGTTGCCGGCATGACTGCATGGCGCGCCGCTACCTCCCCGTCAGAGCGGTAACTATTGATCTACTCACATTTGCATGTTTTCGAACTGCTAGGTTGGCAGAAGCTAGGGCTGACAGCGGAAGCTCACGCCGCTCCCCGGAATCGAACCTGCGACCTTTCGATCAACAAGCTCAGCAGCTCAGTGCTTTAACCACTGCGCCTAGGTGACTCAAAGCAGTTTACATAGTACAAATTATCACAAGACAGTATCATAAGCAATTAAAACACATTATACATAACAATCAATATCAATAAACAATCATTATCATAACGCCTCAACACCAAATCGAACCATTCTCATAATCCTTGTTCCAAGTTCCTATGTTCGATTGCACCGTATTTCTATAATCAATTGCACTGATTTAGCCAAATGCTTGTTCGAAGAGCCATGTCTTCACCTTCCTCCGGAAGGTCAACAATGACGGGGCCTGTCTGATGTCTACAGGTAGGGCATTCCACAGCCGAGGGGCCACCACCGAGAAGGCCCTGTCTCGTCCTCGCCAAGTGCGCCTGTGATGCAGGCGGGATCGAGAGCAGGGCCTCCCCGGACGAATAATAATAATAATAATAATAATAATAATAATAATAATCCTTTATTTATACCCCGCTACCATCTCCCGATGGACGATGCGGCTTACAAGAGGCCGAGCCCAAGTACATCAGTAAAAACAACAACAATAACAACAACAATACAGACAATAAATAAACTCATAAACACGAGGTGTCTTCCAACTCTATGATTCTATGAGGAGCGACTTAAAGAGCTGGGCATTTTTAGTCTGCAGAAGAGAAGGCTGAAAGGTGACATGAGGAGGGCCATGTAACAAGAAGTGATGGAGTGGGGAGCAGGCTTGTTTCCTGCTACCCTGGAAACTATGACGTGGAAGAAAGGAGATTCCATCTGAACATTAGGAAGAACTTCCTAACGGTGAGAGCTGCTCAGCAGTGGAACTCTCTGCCCTGGAATGTGGTGGAAGCTCCTTCTTTGGAGGCTTCTAAAGAATGGATGACTGAGGCGAGGGAGAGAGACTATTCCCTCTTTAAAAACCTCTTTGCTGCCTTATACTGATTCACACTCTTGTGTATAACAAAGTAACACAGTTTATTTATAACTTCTGGCTCCAACGCTTGTGGTTACATTTGTGTTTTGTTGCAGTCTTGAGGCTTACAGTCAGTATCATTTACTTGGTTAACTTTTCTGAATAAACTATCAATGTTTCACATTCACAAACATGTTACTTGCTTTACACACTCTTGGCTGAATTATATTCTGAACTAAGGCAACACTAGCCTTCTTTATGTTCCTTAAAACTCAAGCTCTATTTAACTAACTGCTTCTCTATATCAGAAGTCTTTAACACATCTTCATAACTGCTTATTTCTATCAGGCACTCAAAAACCGACTCTCCTCTTCACACACAGATTCCTAACTGTCATTTTTAAACTCCCTCACTCTTAACTGCCTCTTTCAGAACCTTGGCTCCGCCCCTTTGGAATGTTCAGCTCTGCTCTCCCCAACTGTCATTTTGGCCTAGCAGCCTTTTCAAATCCTGGGCCTACACTAATCTGCACATGACCAATCGGCTTCATATATGCAAATGAATCCTATCTCTGCTGTTGCTACCCTGTCTGTGCCTATTTTTCCCCATCTGACATGTGTAAACATAGAGCTATACACCAAAACTTTAACAGAGAGTAGCAATTTCACTACAATGACCATCTGTTGGGGGGTGCTTTGAATGCGATTTTCCTGCTTCTTGGCAGAATGGGGTTGGACTGGATGGCCCATGAGGTCTCTTCCAACTCTAGGATTCTATGATTCTATCTATTTTTGGCTCTGATTTGTAAACAAAGACTTTTACTGATTTCCGTAGCTCCAGAACTAGCTCTTCACTCAATTCCTTATCTGCTGTTGCTACTTCTGACTCCCCTGAATGCACTTTTTGAGCTATTGGATTCTATGATCCTCACCACCCTAACCTTTGTCTAAAAACCAAGTTTGAAAAGCAAGAGGGGTGGGGAGAAATTTGAATTCGAAGTTGCAGAATTGGGATCCAAATTCTGCTCCTCTTACCGATAAAAGAGGGCTGGAAGAGAGTCTCTGGGCACCGGAAACGTTCGTTGCCGATGGTGATCACTTGCCCATCAGGAAGCTCATAGCTCTTTTCCAGAGAAGAGGAGGAAGCGGCGGTCGCCATCTCATTCTCAAAGTCCAAAGCCACATAGCCCAGTTTCTCCTTGATGTCTCGAACAATCTCCCGTTCAGCTGTGGGAAGATAGAAAATGATCTGATGCCGTATATATAATAATAATAATAATAATAATAATAATAATAATAATAATAAACTATTTGTACCCAGCTACCATCTCCTGGAGGACTCGGTGTGGCTTACAAGAGGCCAAGAAATACAATAGTAAAAACAATAACAACAACAACAACAAAATAACTCAAAAAACAAAGCAATAACATTAACAACACACAATGATGCAATTAAAAACAATGGCAGGGCCAAATGTAATGAATAAAGTTAAAAGTGCTGGGCATGACAGGTGGGGTGTTTGGAGGAGGGTAAGGTAAAGGTAAAGGTAGTCCCCTGACATTAAGTCCAGTCATGTCTGACTCTGGGGTGTGGTGCTCATCTCCATTTCTAAGCTGAAGAGCCAGCGTTGTCTGTAGACACCTCCAAGGTCATGTGGCCGGCATGACTGCATGGAGCGCCGTTACCTTCCCGCCGGAGCAGTACCTATTGATCTACTCACATTTGCATGTTTTCGAACTGCTAGGTTGGCAGAAGCTAGGGCTGACAGCGGAAGCTCACGCATGTAGATATCCTAGATCTCTGATAAAGTGCATTGGGACATAATGCTAGGAGTTTCCTTATTCTGGAAAGGCACACTGGAACAACCACGTCTTCAAGCTCCTCCTAAAGATTGCTAGCGACGGGGCCTGCCTGATGTCCTTAGGGAGAGAATTCCAGAGTCGAGGGGCCACCACCGAAAGCCCTATCCCTCGTCCCCACCAATCGCGCTTGCGATGCAGGTGGGATCGTGAACAGGGCCTCTCCAGATGAACAAAGAGATCGTGTAGGTTCGTACACAGAGATGTGGTCACGCAGGTAGGCAGGTCCCAAACTGTTTAGGGCTTTGTAGATAAGCACCTGCACCTTGAATTGGGCCCGGAAAATGAACAGCAGCCAATGGAGCTCCTTAAACAGGAGGGTTGACATCTCTCTGTAAGGAGCACCAGTTAACAACCTGGCTGCTGCCCGTTGGACCAATTGAAATTTCTGGGCCGTTTTCAAGGGCAGCCCCACATAGAGCGCATTACAGTAGTCCAATCTGGAAGTGACTAAGGCGTGGACCACCCCGGCCAGATCAGCCTTCACGAGGTACGGTCGCAGTTGGCGCACGAGTCTCAATTGTGCAAAGGCCCTCCCGGACACTGCCGACGCCTGAGCCTCAAGCGTAAGTGATGAATCCAAGAGGACTCCCAGACTGCGGACCTGTGACTTCAGGGGGAGTGTAACCCCGTCCAGCACAGGTTGCCATCCTATACCCCAATCCGGGTTTACAATCGACCAGGAGGACCTCTGTCTTGTCGGGATTGATCTTCAGCTTGTTCCTCCTCATCCAGATAGACACAGCGGCCAGGCACTCGTCCAGCACCCGAGAGGCCTCCTTGGAATTAGGTGGAAATGAGTAGTAGAGTTGTGTGTCATCTGCGTAGAGATGGCACCTAACTCCAAAACTCCGGATGACCTCTCCCAGCTTCATGTAGATGTTAAAAAGCATGGGAGACAAAATAGAGCCTTGCGGGACCCCACAGGTCAAAGGTCAGGGGTCCGAGCAGGCATCTCCCAGCTTCACCATCTGGGATCGACCCTCCAGGAAGGACCGGAGCCACGACAAAACCGTGCCCCCGAGACCCATCCCAGAGAGTCGACCCAGAAGGATACCATGATCGATGGTATTGAAAGCCGCTGAGATGTCCAAGAGAACCAACAGGGTCACACTCCCCCTGTCCAGCTCTCTACGGAGGTCATCCACCAAGGCGACCAAGGCCGTCTCGGTGCCGTGGCCAGGCCTGAAACCAGATTGTGACTGATCTAGGTAGTTGTTGTCATCTAGAAAACATTGGGTTGTTAGGGACATAGTGTCCAAATTTGGTGTCAATTGCCCCAGTGGTTTCTGAGTTCTGTGAATAGCACAAACGAACATTACATTTTTATTTATATAGATTTATTTAGAGCTTTTATAAAGGGGAAATTGGAAACTGGCCAAAAGTAGTTCAAATCAGTGGGTTCCAAGGATGGTGTTTTCATCACAGCTTCTTTCTTCTTATGGTCATATGCTTCAAGTAACTCCCTTACCTGTAGTAACAAAGGAATAGCCACGCTCCGTTAGGATCTTCATCAGATAGTCAGTGAGATCACGGCCAGCCAGATCCAGTCGCTGAATGGCATGAGGCAAGGCATAACCCTCATAGATGGGTACGTTGTGGGTGACGCCGTCTCCAGAATCCAACACTATCCCTACAAGAGAGGACATTCAAGATGGTTAGAGAGCCAAAGAAGGAGAGAGGCGGTGGAGATGAATCTTGCTCCCATCTTACCAGTCGTACGCCCGGAGGCGTAGAGGGACAGCACAGCCTGGATGGCCACGTACATGGCGGGCACGTTGAAGGTCTCAAACATGATCTGGGTCATCTTCTCCCGGTTGGCTTTGGGGTTGAGCGGTGCCTCGGTCAAGAGGGTGGGGTGCTCCTCAGGGGCGACCCGGAGCTCATTGTAGAAAGTGTGGTGCCAGATCTTCTCCATGTCATCCCAGTTGGTGATGATGCCGTGCTCAATGGGGTACTTCAAGGTGAGAATACCTCTTTTGCTCTGAGCTTCGTCTCCCACGTAGGAGTCTTTCTGACCCATGCCCACCATGACACCCTGGGAAGAAGCAGAAATCAATACATCCCCTTTTCATCCTGCCCCGCCACTAGATTTTTGGCAGCCAAGAACACAGAAAATCAACAAAAGATTTTCCCAAGCTCAGCCAGGCCTTCAAATGCTAATGAAGGTGGTCAGTTGAAACATTCACACCTAGCTCCAGCAGAGAAGAGCTCTTTGCCCCACCCCAGCCATTCCACAGATATATAAACCCATTTTCCTACTTCCAACAGACCTCACTACCTCTGAGGATGCTTGCCATAGATGCAGGCGAAACGTCAGGAGAAATGCCTCTAGAACATGGCCCTATAGCCCGAAAAAAACTCACAAGAACCTACTAAAAGGGAGACCGTTTCTGTAAATCAGTGTTTCTCAACCTTCGTAATGCCGCGACCATTTAATACAGTTCCTCATGTTGTGATGACCCCCAACATTAGTTTCGTTGTATTGTCGAAGGCTTTCATGGCCGGAATCACTGGGTTGTTGTAGGTTTTTTCAGGCTATATGGCCATGTTCTAAAGGCATTCTCTCCATGTTCTCAACCTGGGGGTCGGGACCCCTGAGGGGGTCATGAGGGGGTTTCAAAGGGGTCGCCAAAGACCATCAGAAAACACAGTATTTTCTGTTGGCCATATGGATTCTGTGTGGGAAGTTTGACCCAACTGTATTGTTGGCCGAGTTCAGAATGCTCTGTGATTGTAGGTGAACTATAAATCCCAGCAACTACAACTCCCAAATGTCAAGGTCTATTTTCCCCAGACTCCACCAGTGTTCTCATGTGGACATATTGAGTATTTGTGCTAAGTTTGATCCAGATCCATCTTTGCATGAATCCACAGTGCTCCTCTGGATATAGGTGAACTACAACTCCCAATCTCAAGGTCAATGTCCATCAAACCCTTCCAGAACCCCCATGACCAACTATGTTTTCTGAGGGCCTTTGGTGACCCCTTTGACACCCCTTTGTGACCCCCCCCCCCCCCCCCCCCGTGGTCCCGACCCCCAGGTTGAGAAACACTGCTGTAAAGGGTTTTCTGAGCTGTTCCTCAGGGTAGCATCCATCTCTCTTTCTTCCTCCTCTGCCCAGCTCCAAACTTAAGAAATGGTATAACAGCTGTTTCAGAGCATAATTTCACCTCCGGGAATACTTGATCCCATTGGAATGCCAAGTAGCAAATTATCTCTTAATTACCCGGTCTAGAATTTCTCAGGGACACCCCCTGCTGTTTTGGGGTTAGCCCCCCCCCCTTAAGTGACCTTACTAGTCCTTTGAGGTCATAAACAATGAAAGAGGAGTTCAGTAGGGATCTGTTTACATCTCGTCCTGCCACCATCAACTGGAAGAGGTCTATTTGCATGAAAGTGAAAAATCATAGAATCCTAGAGTTGGAAGAGACCTCATGGGCCATCCAGTCCGACCCCATTCTGCCAAGAAGCAGGAATATTGCATTCAAATCACCCCTGACAGATGGCCATCCAGCCTCTGTTTAAAAGCTTCCAAAGAAGGAGCCTCCACCACACTCCGGGGCAGAGAGTTCCACTGCTGAACGGCTCTCACAGTCAGGAAGTTCTTTTTAATGTTCAGATGGAATCTCCTTTCTTGTAGTTTGAAGACTGGGGGCGTTTGTATTTTGTAGTTTGAAGCCATTGCTCCACTGCGTCCTAGTCTCCAGGGCAGCAGAAAACAAGCTTGCTCCCTCCTCCCTATGACCTCCTCTCACATATTTATACATGGCCCTCATCGTGTCTCTTCTCAGCCTTCTCTTCTTCAGGCTAAACATGCCCAGCTCTTTAAGCCGCTCCTCATAGGGCTTGTTCTCCAGATCCTTGATCATGGATTTTAGGGCTCAATCATGCTAAATGTGTATGGTCACTACTTTTATATAGCACAGTAGCGGTTAAGTACCCCTTATCCAAATTTCTTGGAATCAGAAGTGTTTTGGAATATGGTAAATGTTTGGATCCCAAAAGGATGAGGTGGTGGACGGGAGAGAAAAGGTGTCTCCATTAGACCCTGTACTTTATTTATCGTGTCATCAGCAACCAGACATTTGTATTACATTTTTAACAAAAACAAACAAACAAACAGACAAAACAAAGTTTGCAACTTGGTAGTTGATTAAATGTCCTTTGACCAGTATCTGGCCACTTGGAGTGCCTCTGGTGTTGCCGCAAGGAGGTCCTCCATTGTGCATGTGGCAGGGCTCAGGTTGCATCGCAGCAGGTGATCTGTAGTTTGCTCTTCTCCACACTCGTATGTCGTGGATTCCACTTTGTGGCCCCATTTCTGGAGGTTGGCTCTGCATCTCGTGGTGCCAGAGCGCAGTCTGTTCAGCACCTTCCAAGTCGCCCAGTTTTCTGTGTGCCCAGGAGGGAGTCTCTCATTTGATATCAGCCATTGATTGGGGTTCTGGGTTTGAGCCTGCCACTTTTGGACTCTCGCTTGCTGAGGTGTTCCAGCGAGTGTCTCTGTAGATCTTAGAAAACTATTTCTTGATTTAAGTCATTGACATGCTGGCTGAGACCCAAACAGGGGATGAGCTGGAGATGTCTCTGCCTTGGTCCTTTCACTATTGGCTGCTACTTCCCGGCGGATGTCAGGTGGTGCGATACCGGCTAAGCAAGTGTAATTTCTCCAGTGGTGTAGGGCGCAGACACCCCGTGATAATGCGGCATGTCTCATTAAGAGCCACATCCACTATTTTAGCGTGGTGAGATGTGTTCCACTGGGCATGCGTACTCAGCAGCAGAGTAGCATAGCGCAAGGGCAGATGTCTTCACTGTGTCTGGTTGTGATCCCCAGGTTGTGCCAGTCAGCTTTCGTATGATATTGTTTCTAGCACCCACTTTTTGCTTGATGTTCAGGCAGTGCTTCTTGTAGGTAAGAGCACGGTCCAGAGTGACTCCAAGGTATTTGGGTGCGCTGCAATGCTCCAGTGGGATTCCTTCCCAGGTAATCCTCAGAGCTCGGGATGCTTGTCTGTTCTTAAGGTGAAAGGCACATGTCTGTGTGTCTTCCTGGCATTAGGAAGTGCGCGCCCTGCATCGCCCCTCCTTCCCCGCGCATTTCCTAACGCCGGGAAAGGGACGCACGCCAGCGTTATCTCCCTTGGCCTGCGAGGAGGAGGAGAGGAAGACAATGCGCACGCACATGGGCACTTGTGAGGGAAGGAGGGAGGGAGAGTGAGCTGCCTCTGGGTGTTGTTTGGGGCAGGGGCGACTCAAGAGCTTCTCAAGTGCGCCCCCCCCGAGATGCGCGCTCTACGCAAAAGCGTAACTTGCATACTGCCTTGAGCCACCCCTGCTAGGCCTGTTTGATCAAGAAAAAATTTGTTTCTAAAATCGATTTGTAATTGGGGTGTTTTTTTGTTTCGATATTTAAAATAATTACAAAACTTTCCAAAAAAAAGTTTTGGTATTTAAGAAATTTTGTAAATATTAACGAATTTTTAGAATATTTTTGGTATTTTTAAGAATAATATTAAAATAATATTAAAAAATATTTTAAAATGGAAAATTAACCAAAAAATGGCCCAAATGTGACCAAACACAGGCAGGATACAGCAAATGAGAGCACACACCAACATAAGAGTCTTTTCTTTTTTAGAATATTTTTTAAAAATAATATTAAAATAATATTAAAAAATAATATTAAAATAATATTAAAAAATAATATTAAAAAATAATATTAAAAAATATTTTAAAATGGAAAATTAACCAAAAAATGGCCCAAATGTGGACCAAACACAGGCAGGAGACAGCAAATGAGAGCACACACCAACAGAAGAGTCTTTTCTTTTTTAGAATATTTTTTAAGAATAATATTAAAATAATATTAAAAAATAATATTAAAAAAATATTAAAAAATAATATTAAAAATAATATTAAAAAATATTTTAAAATGGAAAATTAACCAAAAAATGGCCCAAATGTGGACCAAACACAGGCAGGAGACAGCAAATGTAGAGCACACACCAACAGAAGAGTCTTTTCTTTTTTAGAATATTTTTTAAGAATAATATTAAAAAATAATATTAAAAAATAATATTAAAAATAATATTAAAAAATAATATTAAAAAATAATATTAAAATATTTTAAAATGGACAATTAACCAAAAAATGGCCCAAATGTGGACCAAACACAGGCAAGAGACAGCAAATGAAGCAAGCAGCACTCACAGCAGCAAGGAATGAATCCAATCCCAGTTGCTAGCAGCCATTGCCAAGCCAACCCAATGCAAACTCCCTCGCCCTCCAGCAAGCTACGGGCCGCGCGGAGCCGCTTTGAAAGGGCTCGCCGGCCAATCAAAAACAGACACAGCCACGGACCCATGGTGCACTGCTTGGGAGCGCCGGATTGGAGGCTCGTTAAAACTATGGGGGTTGCTGGTTCGATATTTAAAAACCCTTCCGGGTTTGGAAATATGTTTCAATATCGCTTCGGAAATGCCAAAATTAACGAATTAATAACGAATTAACGAATTAACGAACGAAACCGCACAGGCCTACTGCTTATAGAAAGTCGATCCACCATAGATCAGTGCCTAGTGCTGCAACACCTTGTGGAAAAATATTCCTCCCAAAACATAACCTCACTATATGCTGCTTTTATTGACTTTAAAGCAGCATTTGATTCCATCTCGCGAGTTAAACTTTGGGAAAAACTGGAGAGTTCTACAATTGATCGCCGTCTACTATATCTAATACGCCAACTTCACGAAAAGACCACACTCAAAGTAAGATGCAACCCACAGGGCCACCTCACTGAGGCTGTTGAAACATGCAAGGGTGTCAAGCAAGGCTGCATTCTGGCCCCTTTGCTGTTCAACTTCTATATAAACTCCATAGTGGACCAGCTTCAAAACATGGACTTCCACCCCCCAAAGCTGGCGGGAAGACACATCTCCATCCTGCTTTATGCAGATGATGCTGCTGTACTCTCTAGAACACCCATTGGGCTCAAAAGAGCTTTGAGAGCATTAATACAACATTGCAACACAGATCAGCTCCAACTCAATTACAATAAAACCAAAATCATGGCTTTCGCTAATAGGCCCAGGACTTACTCTTGGAGCATAGATGGTCATAAAATTGAACAAGTTACATCCTTCAAATATCTAGGTGTAGTTTTCCAATCTAATGGTAGCAGAAGAGCTCATGGGGATCAAGTATCCAACACCGCGCAGGGGAGCTCAATTGCCATTCTTAAATATCTCAGGACAAGAGGGGGCCACTTCACACCGGCAGCGCTCAAGCTGTTTGAAGCCAAGTCATTAGCCCAACTCTTGTATGGTGCTCAGCTGGGCCCCTTCCCCAGTTTTGCCGGGCACAATTCAAGGTGCTGGCTTTAGCCTATAAAGCCCTACACGGTTCCGGCCCCACTTACCTCTCCAAACGCATCTCCACCTATGAACCGGCGAGGACGTTAAGATCGTCCGGGGAGGCCCTGCTCTCGGTCCCGCCAGCATCACAAGCGCGGTTGGCGGGGACGAGAGACAGGGCCTTCTCGGTGGTGGCCCCTCGGCTATGGAATGCCCTACCAGCGGACATCAGGCAGGCCCCTTCGTTGCTGGCATTTTGGAGGAGGGTTAAGACGTGGCTCTATGAACAGGCGTTCAGATAATTATGCAATTACAACTAACTCAGGAAGACGGCATACTGAACAAGGAACGGTAAAACGACTGTGAGAACGGGATCTGATTCTATTTGAGGCGTTGATGACTATATGTGTGTTGTCTGTGTATGTCTGTTTTATATATTGTCAGTGTTGCACATTTTACTGTAAACCGCATTGAGTCGCCGTCCTAGGCTGATAAATGCGGTATACAAATGGAGTAAATAAATAAATAATAAATAGAGCTGGTTCAGTCCAAGTTTCTGAGATCGGCCTTGCAGGTACCTAAATGCGTTTCTAATGCCACCCTGCGACTAGAGACGGGTTTTATGAGAGTGGAGGCCAGGGTGTGGGTGGCCATACTTAACCTCTGGCTCAGACTGTCCCGTGCACCCCTTGGCCTTGCCCCACTAACCATGGAGGATGACTTCCAATCCACATGGAAGCAGGCGGTAGCATCCAAAATCTCCTCGTTGGGATTTTCTCCAGGTCTACTATTAGCTATGGATTACAATCAAGCCAAAGCACTTATTAAACAACGTATCACAGACACAGAGCGCCAACTAGATCTGGCCTCGGCTCCAACCTTCCTTATCAGTGAAGACAGCAGATACCTTGCCTCCCCTATGGCATATTTAACATACTTAGAGGTTCCTATTCATTGAAGGGCTTTCACCCTGGCCCGATGCCACGCTCTCCCATCAGCTGTACTCGAAGGCCGCTACCGGAAGATCCCTTTCCCAGAGAGGCTCTGCCCCTGTGACTCGGGTCATGTAGAAACAATAGAACATGTGCTCCTTCAGTGCCCGTTCTACAGGGATATCCGTGCCAGGCTTATCTTACCTCTGATAGACAAGCACCCAGGCCATTCAGGACAATTTTATACCTCCCTGCTACTTGCGGATACTAATTCAGCTACAACCTACAATGTTGCAAAGTTCTGTGCAGCAGCATACAAAATCCGCCAGGGAATGACTAGTTCCAAAAGTCAACTGTGTGTCCAGTAATCTTCTTCCCTGAATCTACAATTTGGTGATGGATCTGGGCATTGTATGTTTTTACCCTGTTTCCCCTTCTGCTCCCTCACCCATATTGTGTTTTTAGTAGTTATATTTATATTTTTAATGTACCAAACATGCCAGGTTTGTATGGAAATGTGACACTATTTCCTGTGCTGGTCAATGACCGAAATAAATATTTTGAATTTGAATAGTAAACATCTCCCATCAATTGTGGTGTCCAGAAAAGGACACAATATTCCAGGTGTGGTCTGACCAAGATAGTCTGCACAGACTAATACAGTTAGTTGCCCTTTCTTTAATGAACTGCAACAGTCACTGGATAATATTGCTTTAACATTCAAATTAAATCCTATAACACCCAGAAGTCGCCTTACTTGGTGTCGTGGGCGGCCCACGATGGAGGGGAAGACTGCTCGGGGGGCATCATCACCAGCAAAGCCAGCCTTCACCAAGCCAGAGCCGTTGTCACAGACCAAGGCGGTGGTTTCCTCGTCGTCACACATGATGGTGGCTCACTGGGAAAAAGAGTCAGGATCATGTTACAGACTTTTGAAGTTTCTTGGGCTTCCAGTTCCTAAAATGTCCAGTCAACATGCATTGAGTTATGTACTCAAAAAAGTGTATTTTTCCATGGACTGACCCACACAAACATCATTTTTTGCTCTTTTTTTGTCTCGAACATCTTCTCCCATGTCACGAGTGATTGTGGCAAAATAGACACATCGCCTAGTCCAGTGGTTCTCAACCTTCCTAATACCGCAACCCCGTAATACAGCTTCTCATGTGATGACCTCCAACCATAAAATTATTTTCGTTGCTACTTCGTAACTGTAATGTTGCTACTGTTATGAATTGTAATGTAAATATCTGATATAGAATCATAGAATCAAAGAGTTGGAAGAGACCTCATGGGCCATCCAGTCCAACCCCCTGCCAAGAAGCACGAATGTTGCACTCAAATCACCCCTGACAGATGGCCATCCAGCCCCTGTTTAAAAGCTTCCAAAGAAGGAGCCTCCACCACACTCCGGGGCAGAGAGTTCCACTGCTGAACGGCTCTCACAGTGGAATATGCAGGATGTGTTTTCATTCACGGACCAAGTTTGGCACAAACACCCGATACACCCAAATTTGGGGGAAGTGGGGGTTGATTTTGCCATTTGGGAGTTGTAGTTGCTGGGATTTATAGTTCACCTACAATCAAAGAGCATTCTGAACTCCAATGATGGAATTGAACCAAACTTGGCACACGGAACTCCCACAACCAACAGAAAATACTGGAAAGGTTTAGTGGAGATTGACTTTGAGTTTTGGAGTTCAGACAGTACGGTAGACTCAAACAGTGATGGATCTGGACCAAATTTGGCACAAATACTCTATATACTCTATATTAGAGTTGTAGTTCACCTTCATCCAGAGAGCACTGTGGACTCAAACAGTGATGGATCTGGGCCAAAAACTTGCCACAAATACTCTATATGGCCAAATGTGAACACTGGTGGGATTGGGGGGAAATAGATCTTGACATTTGGGATTTTTAGTTCGCCTGTTAAGGGCTGAAAAATGCGGTATAGAAATAAAGCAAATAAATAAATAAATAATAGTTCATCCGCAATCAAAGAGCATTCTGAACTCTACCAACGATGGAATTGAACAAAACTTGGCACAAAGAACTCCCATGACCAACAGAAACAATGAAAAGACTTAGTGGACATTGACTTAAGTTTTGGAGTTGTAGTTCACCTTCATCTAGAGAGCACTGTGTACTCAAACAATGATTGTTTGTGCCAATTTTGGTCCAGATCCATCCTTGGCACGAATACTCATTATGCCCAACCTTGGCACACAGAACTCTCATGACCAACAGAAACACTGGAAAGGTTTAGTGGACATTGGCTTTAAGTTTTGGAGTTGTAGTTCACCTTCATCCAGAGAGCACTGTGGACTCAAAAAATGATGGATCTGGACCAAACTTGGCACGAATACTCAATATTCCCAATATTTATACATGGCTATCATGTCTCCTCTCAGCCTTCTCTTCTGAAGGCTAAACATGCCCAGCTCTTTAAG